TGTCCATTGGTTAGGCCTATATGCTTGCATGTAAGTCCTTTGGTTGATCTTTCCCCCTTACCCCCACCCTCCCCTACCTTCCCTCCAAGGCCCGACAGTCCAATCAATGCCTCTCCATCTCTGGATCAGTCCTTGTTCATCAGTTTATGTTGTTCATTATATTCCACAAATGAGTGAGATCATGTGGTATTTATCCGCTCTCCAGTTCCATCCATGCTGTGGCAAATGGTAAGAGTTCCTTTTTCTTCCTCCTCTTCTTAAAGAATACCTTTCAGCATTTCATATAATGCTGGTTTGGTGGTGATGAACTCCTTTAGCTTTTTCTTATCCGTGTGAAGCTCTTTATCTGACCTTCTATTCTGAATGATAGCTTTGCTGGATAAAGTAATCTTGGTTGCAGGTTCATGCTATTCATCACTTTGAATATTTCTTGCCAGTCTCTTCTGGCCTGCATGGTTTCTGTTGAGAAATCAGCTGACAGTCGTATGGGTACTCCCTTGTAGGTAACTGACTGTCTTTCTCTTGCTGCTTTTAAGATTCTCTCTTTGTCTTTTGCTCTTGGCATTTTAATTATGATGTGTCTTGGTGTGGTCCTCTTTGGATTCCTTTTGTTTGGGGTTCTCTGCGCTTCCTGGACTTGTAAGTCTATTTCTTTCACCAGGTAGGGGAAGTTTTTTGTCATTATTTCTTCAAATAGGTTTTCAATATCTTGCCCTCTCTCTTCTTCTGGTACCCCTATAATTCTGATGTTGGTACGCTTGAAGTTGTCCCAGAGGCTCCTTACACTATCTTCATATTTTTGGAATCTCTTTTCTTTTTTCTTTTTCGGTTGGGTATTTTTTGTTTCTTTGTATTTCAAATCTTTGACTTGATTCTTGGGATCCTCTTGTCTGCTGTTGGATCTCTGTAAATTATTCTTTATTTCAGCCAGTGTATGCTTAATTTCTAGTTGGTCCTTTTTCATGTCCTCCAGGGTCTCACTATACTTATTGAGGGACTCACTAAATTTATCGGCGGTTCCCATAAAATTCTTGAAAAACCTTATAAACGTGGCCTTGAACTCTATATCCAGTCGTTTGCTTTCCTCCATTTCTGCCATTTGTGACCTGTTTCTTTGTCTCCGCATTTTGGCTGCTTCCCTGTGTTGATAGAGTGGCTTTGTGTGCTAGGTGTGCTGTAGGGCCCAGTGTCTCAGCCTCCCCAGTTACCTGAGGTGGACACTCTTGGTGCACCCCCTTGTGGGCTTTGTGCACAGTCTTGTTGTAGTTATGCCTTGGTTGTTGTAGGATCACTGGGAGGAATTGACCTCCAGGCCAATTGGCAGTGAGAATCAGCTGTGTCTGCAGTGGGAGAACTTCTGTGCTGGAGACACCCTTCTGGGGCAAGACTTGCTTCAGTGGGGTTTTGGTGCTCACTGAGTCTGCACACTGAGTGTGTCCCTTATGGATCTGAGGAGTTGTAATCTGGATGGTCCCCCTCTGACCACTGGGTACACTGGCTCTTGGATCTAAGGAGGTGCTAATTTAGCCTCTGCCTGAGGTTACACAGCAGGAGCTACGAAGAGAACTGCAGATTCCCCTTCCTTTTTTGGAGTTTGGAGGTGCCCTGATGAGGCTCAGCTGTGAAGCAATGCAAGCCGCTGTGGGGCCTTGGGCCATCTCTTGGAAGTTCTGGGTCTGACTGGCCCGGCTGCAGTTAGGTAATTATCAGGTTGCAAAGGGCCGGGGCATTCATATGCAAAAGCCTCTGCAGCAGCCTGGGTGGGGCGGGGTCTCAAGGAATCAAAGGACGGAGCAAGCAGCTATGGCGGATCCTTAGCCCTGCCCTAAGGAGTTGCGTGTCTCAGTGTCCCGGTAACGGCTGCAAGCACCTCTGAGGGAAAGCCGCCCTCAAGTTTGCCCGCTGCCAGACAGTCCAGTTTCTCCCCATATGAGTCCTGGGTCCCCAGAGACTTCCCGGAACCGGAGTTCAGAGCCGTCGGGAGCTTGTGACTCCCTCCGGGTTCAAAAAGACAGCCGCGTCCTCAGGTGCCAGCCCCTTTCCGCGCGCGCGAGCCCCCGTACCTCTGCACTTTACTTCCGCAGCTCCTCTGGCTCTCAGTGTGCTTTTCTTTCCTTCTAGTTGTAGAATTTACACTCAGCCAGCCTTCCTGTAGTTCTGGATGATGTCCGTTTTGTGTTCCTAGAAGATTTTTCAATTGTTGTGGGAGGCAGCAATTTCCCTGTGTTTATCTATGCCGCCATCTTAGTTTCTCTGATTCTTCTTTCTTTGCTTCCACTTTCTTCTCCTCAGCTGGAGCAGCAGCAGTGGAGGGAGCAGGACCTCCTGCTGGTGCAGCACTAGCTGCAGGGGCAGGTCCCCCAGCCCCTACATTGCAGATGAGACTCCCAATTTTGACATTGGCCAGAGCCTTTGCAAATAAGCCTGGCCAGAAAGGCTCAACATTTACACCAGCTGCTTTAATGAGGGCATTGATCTTATCCTCCATCAAGGATCAGGGCCGAGTAGATGCAGGCGAGCTCCGAGACAGAGGCCATGGTGAGGATGAGTGCTGGGCAAGTGCTGCCGGGAGCGGTGCTAGTCCCCGGATGAAGTGAGGGCCTCACCGCAAGGCGGCCTTACCTTCCTCAGAAGAACCAAGCACCTTAGTGGCAGCTGGGGAAAGGGTCCTTTCCTTCTTTTTCATGTCTGTTCTCATATCCTTGAGGGCAAGGCTATTTCTGTGGGCTGATCTGAAAAGGGCCCAGAACAGTACAGTTCAATAGGACTTCTATTGATGGAAATGTTCATCGGCCCTGTCCAGTACTGCAGCCGCAGGCCACAGGTGGGCTGTTCAACCCTTGAAATATGGCTCATGTGACTGAGGAATTACTTTTTAAATTAAAAAAATTAATTAGTGAAATTTACATTTAAATAGCCTTATATGGCTGGTAGCTACTGTATTGAACAGTGTGGAACTAGAGCAGCGGTTCTCAACCTGTGGGTCGCGACCCCTTTGGCGGTCGAACAACCCTTTCACAGGGGTCGCCTAAGACCATCCTGCATATCAGATATTTACATTACGATTCATAACAGTAGCAACATTACAGTTATGAAGTAGCAACAAAAACAATTTTATGGTTGGGTCACAACATGAGGAACTGTATTTAAAGGGCCAGAAGGTTGAGAACCACTGGCCTAGAGGATGCTGTATATATAGGTTGTGTGCCTCAGCACAGAGCCTTCTTGTAACTTTATCAAATGTGAATGTTCATCTGAATCACCCTGAACAAAGCTGCACATTCCTCTGGGGCAGGGATCCCTGAATCTTCCCTTTGAACTGTGTCCCTTCTGTCGGGTTTTTCATGAGGTGCTGCTCGATAACTCTTGCCACTCACCATTGACCTCAACCAGCTGGAACAGATTGCCTTGTACACTTGGGCCAAAATCCCGGAGCGCAGCAGGCTCCAGCAGCCAGTTCCCTGGGCAAGAGACAACACGGGATCCAGGTCTGCACCCTGCGCACCAGCATCGACTGCGGGATGGTCAACTTGGCTGGGGCTGCCACAGACTCCCACTCTCTATGTCACCAAACTCTATGAGCTCCTGGCCAACCAGGGCTCAGTGGGGCTCAGGATGACATGACACCACAAACAGCTCTGTGATCCTGCCCCAGGAAGGGTGGCTTTCTGCATAGTGTTGTCATCCTGGTTGATTTCCTGGTTATCTATTGCTGTATAACACACCACCCTACATTTATACCTTAAAAAATTTATTTTGCTCAGGAATCGTCAATTTGGGCAGAGTTCAATAGTGAAAGCTCCTCTCTGCTCCATGTAGTATCAGCTGTTGGGAGAGAGAGGGAGGCTAGAAGTTCCACCACCATGATTCACGGCTCCCTCACATAATTGGCAAATTGGTGCTGTCAGTCGGGAGCTCATCTGAGGCTGAGGGTCTTGTTCCTCTCCATTGGCTGCTTGGGCTTTCTCCTAGCATGTTGACTGGGTTCAAGAGAAAGTATCCAAAGTGTCAGGAAATGGAAGATGCCAGTTTCTTAAGTCCTGGGCCCCCCGAAAAGCGGCATCGTGTCCTTTCTGCTGCTTTCTATTGGTAAATAAGCCACAGAGTCCAGCTTCAAGGAGAGGGGACACATCCCACCTTTTGATGGGAGGAGTTTTAACTTGGGCTGCACTTTCAGAGGAAGTCCTAACAGATGATGTGTCATTCCGGTCAGGGTTCAGCTCAGATAAAATTAGACTGAAACTTAGTCTAGTGGGGGAGACGGACAATAATAAACACTCACATCTCAAAGTAAGTCGTTATTCAAATAAATAGCACCAGAGTTATGACAGGTGCTGAGAAAGAGAGGAATGAGAATATTTTTAAAGATTTAGCCCAATCTGGGGTACAGGGAAAGCTTCTGTGAGGAAGTGATTTTTGAGCTGAAACCTAGTAAGATAACCAGGTGGCTCTTAGCAAAGAGGGGAGAGCCCGGGGAGTGGGAAAGGGTTCCAGAAAGAGGGAACAGAATACACAAAGTTCCTAGGGCCAGAGGGGTTGGCAGAGTGGTATAATTAAAAGGCTCGTATGGCAGAAAAAGAAAAAGATGTATAGGGCAAGCAGGGATAGAGGTCAGAAACTTGGTAGAATCTTATTAAGCATTAGGCCATGCTAAGGACTTTGGTAATTTTTATTCTGGGGGCAAAAGAAAACTACTGAAATATTTTAAACAAGAGGGTGACATAATTTATGCTTTGAAAAGATCTCCCTCGCCCTAGACAGTTTGGCTCAGTGGATAGAGCATCAGCTTGCGGACTGAAGGGTCCCAGGTTCGATTCCGGTCAAGGGCATATGCCCGGGTTGCAGGCTCGATCCCCAGTAGGGGACGTTCAGGAGGCAACCAATCAATGATTCTCTCTCATCATTGATGTTTCTATCTCTCTCTTCCTTTCCCTTTCTCTCTGAAATTAATAAAAAATATATTTAAAAAATTTAAAAAACAACAAAGGAAAAACAAAGCCTTTTTTATATATAAAATCATTTAATTTCTGTGTTAAAATACAATTAATTCAGATGCAGTAGAGCAGGTGACCAGATTTCTCAGGACTCCACCGGAGCTGATTCCATCTGTATCAAACCTGGCTCTGGTCACAGAACATTCACATCTTTAATTCCAAATACTGAATGGGATGCAAATGATGTAATTAATATCTAACACATGGGTATATAGTTACTTGGTGGTCATTGCACGAGGTATCAACAACGCAGGCTCAAAAATTAAGATGTACAATAACTTGGCCCTTTCCAAAAACAAGTGTATTAGGATACTAAGTTTATGCCTTAAATGAATCCAAAATAAATACTGATTAAGTGCTAGCTCCTGTGAGGATCATGCATGCAGAGACTACTTGCATGTGTGGCCAGTTGTAACAGAAAGCTTCTAGAATCCCAATAGTGCCTCCCCACAAGGCCTGTCCTGAGTGTGAGGATGAAATGAGAATAACACAAGCTTGGCTAGGCTGCTGGATCTCATGTTCCAGTGGGGTTTGGAGTTCAGTGTAATTTTTAATAGTTTCCAACAGAAAGCATAGCAATTGCATTTTTTACTGGTCACTTCTTCCAATCTGTGAGGCCTGGAGCTGATAAGGAAGTTCAGACATTTTCTGGTTTGAGCAGATGAACCCCAGGGTTGCTAATCAGGGGTCATGGATTCCTTCAAGCTGTAGTGTCCTTTGGTGTGAGGATTTTCACGCTCCCCTCCTCACTGCTGATCATGCAGTGCAAAGAGCACTATCATTCTAATGATGAGAGTTTCCATTTTTGCTTGAGCCTCAAGCCTTATTTCTTAGCCCTTCTCCCATTACACATCTTCAAGCTGTTCTAATGCTCATAGACATGGACTAGCGCTGCACACCAAGTTCTGACAGCAAGAATAAGCCTTACCTAAAGAGCTTATATATGACTAGGAAACCTTCCAAAGGATGTAGGCTAGAGGAAAATCCTTATGATTACCACCATGTAGACAACCCATCTAAAGTGTAACCCAGGAAATTTTAGTTTAACAATATTCTGGACTGTAACAAATAGATAAATTATCCTTCAACCAAATGAAAATATTATCTTGAGGAAAACCACATGTGAGTGTTGTGGTCTCCTAGGTAATAAATTAAATAGTACCATCAGTTCTATAAAGACAGACAATAGGTCTGACATTTATTGGAGTTTAGTATTGCCTCTATTTAGTATCATCACAGATAACTAATGTCTGCCATGAAATCTATAAAACGTGTGGCCACACTCTTCAGGGGCAACTACAGTAGGTTCATCTAACCTGTCAAGTCAGTTTAATTTATGGCCCATTTTCTAGCAGGGGTTGGGGCTGAGAGGAGAGCGTTGATTTTGGTGTGCACAGGAAAATGTTCTATAAGCCTGTTTGCCGCACAGGCACATTTTACTGTGTAAATCTCCTCTGTCACTCAGAGGGAGACAAGAAAGCCTCCCAAATCCAGGAGGATAGACATAGTTGGGCAGCAAAATCTGGCTATATCTGGAGCTGCTCCTCCTCCCCACAGCTGAGCAGTTGTCCTCTACCAGCCACTAAAGCCCCACTCTTTACCTCTGGAGGCATCTCCTGACCCTGTGGAATGTCCACATGTTGAACCGTGCCAGACACATCTGTCTGAATCATGACCGAGCATCTGAAAGGAGAAACTCCACTCTGGAAATCAGTTTTCATGCAGAATCTCCTTCCAACAGGAATTTTTCTTCCATCCTGGAGAAAATATGAGTGTAGACCACAGTCACTTACTGATTCTTCCAGGTTCAGATTCATAATAATCTAGGCAGCTCAGGTAGCTTGGCTCAGCAGGAAGTCTGGAACTACAAGCCCAGGAAGCAACTTATTCCTTCTTTGTCACCTGTGGAAAGGGCTGCCTGCCTCTGAGGGACCTTTTGTTTTGTATACAAAGTTGGTATGGAGTCTTGGTTCCTAAAGACCAGGGGGAAAGGTGTCCTGAATGGATGATGGGCTGCCACAGAAAGGATACGGGGTCAGAGGGGAGGGGGCAGGGGCATCTTTGGGAAAGATTCAGCTTTACCAATCTGGCTAGAATGACCTGAGAAATGGGGATGATCTCACACTTTCTACTTGATAATCAGACCTCCGTCTAGCTCTGCCATTACCACTTATGTGACTCGGGTTAACCTTTCATCCTCTCCGGGGCAATATTCTCATTCATAAAAACAGGGATAACATGTCCACTTCACAGAGCTGTGAGGAGGCTAAAGTAGGAAAATGCATTGAGAGCCCTTGCTTCATCCCAGGCACTCAGTCAACGTTGACTACATGAAAAAGCCTCTCATATCACAAACTATAGGATCAGACAAAGTGACCGCTGGAGCCAACACCAGATCCCCAGAGCCATGGAAAGGTCTCTCCCCTCTATCTCTAGGCTTGAGCAAATAGCCCAGTTAGCTGGCAGTGCTTCTTCTTAGTCTGACCACTACACCTCTGGGGTGTAGGGACTCAGTTCCTGTGATGCTACAAGGGGAAATGGCAAAAAGAACATTCTCTGGGTTCTATTGTGGACTAGGGAACTTTCAGCGAGAAGCTGAGACTAAGGTTACATTTTACCTTCATCCCTGGCCCCTGCTTCCATTGAGCTGTTTCACTCAATAGCTTTTAATTTCTGGTCCCTCTGCAAGAGAGACAATTAAGGAAGTAAAAAACTCAGATCAGGCATTTTGCTAGTAACTCTGAATAGAGATTGGGCAAATAGGAAACTATTGGCTACAATAGTTTACATTTCTCCACATTCCCCTTAGAAAGTGGAAATATGAGAAGGAGTATGTTCCAAAGGCTGAATCCTGGGGGAGACTCTCATGAAGGGAGAGGTCTAATTTTTGGTGCACTTTGCAAACAACTAATATTAAGCTGCTTTGGCTCTGCCTAGGAATGAGTGGTTAGCGAAGAGGAGAAAAAAGAAGAAAACATGAATCTGCTCTGGGATGCCCTGACTTGCATTCCTAGAGGCAGGGCAGGTGTGGAGCAGGGGGGCTGAATCCAACACTTTGTCATTAATTCAACTCAGATGAGCTGTTCCTGGCCCCTGGAGCCAATCCCCAGGAAGGGATTCTGTGATGACCAGTCTGGCTCCATGCGCAAGCACCTTCAACTCAGCCCACCAAATAAAGTTAGCAAATTGTAAAATGTTCATCATCCTAGTTTTGTATTATAAAATGGAATTAGGAACATAAGTAGTAACAAGTAGCAAAACCCCGACCCTGCATAGGACTATCATCCTCTCAGCCACCTCTGCGTAGGCCAATGAGTTTGGAAAGTTTTTCACAGTTTTCAAGTTTCAGCGACTCTGCTTTCTCTTTCAATCGTTCATCTCTGTATAATCCGGCCAAATTGGTCAGCTCGGACTCTGAAAGATAAAAGAGAAACCAATTCATCAAAGAACTTGAGGTCCTTTGCTGCATTTCAGTATTTCTGGAATCAAAGCTTCTTTTACTTTATTTAATACTTTCTCTTTCAATTATATTTAAGAAACAGGCATTTATTCAAGACAGAGTACCAGGCAACTATACTACACCAGGTGCTAAGGATTAAAGGACACCTGTGGTCCTGGAGTGCTACGGTATCTGTGCTCCGTTATAAAAGTACCAGACTTAGTTCTTATCAATAGAACATTTGGCACCAGAGTTGGGAAGCCTGTACGTGTGCAGTAAGAGGAGACTCTTTTTCACGGTCTTCCTACAAATGGTATTCAGATGGCAGTTGGGAGAGAATGGAGTCCGATCGCCTGTTCCTGTCATCTGAAACAAAGACAGCTGCTTCATTCTTTCCCTTGCATTGCTGGATCATAATTCACACACACCAACTGAGGCAGCCTACTTCCGGTGGGTAAGCCTCCTATAGAAGGCCAGGTTGCTGGAGGATTTCTTCATTCCCTCGCCACATGCGGAGTCCCTGATTCAAAGGCCAGAGGCAGCTGGGCCCTTTTAAAAGTGAAATCATCTGGATCCGGTGACCTTTGTCTCCTTGACTAAAGGAATTTCATTTTCTCTTAATGGTGGGAGAAGGTCATTCTATTTTTAACCAGAATATAATCTGCTGTCTTCCCCAACTCAACATGGTTGGCTGCCTCTACTTTTTATTCTTTTGTAAAGTTTCAGAGACAATATTAGGAGGGAAGGCCTGACAAGCACCTCCAGAGACATGTTTTAACAGGATGCATGCTTGGATGGGCTGTGTGGCTTCTGAAAGCCTCCAACAGTAGGCAGCTACTCAATGTTTCAATGGCCGTACTTGTGAAAACGCTATTTTAATCATTTGGAGATGTGCTATCCATTCTTAATCATCTTGCCGACAGGTTTTGTTTTTCTTGGTGGAACCAGAGGCACCTGTCATTAATCAGCGAGCTGCCTGGGACACAGGAATTAATACTTAGACAGGGGGAACAATGGGCATTGGTTTCTGAATAAGCTTCTATCAACACAAAACACTGTCTGGCATTTCTGCTCACAATGATTCTATTTACACCAAGTAAGGCCCAGAGTGCAGATTAAGTGCAGGACTCCAGGGTGAGGGGTGGATATGCATGAAAACCCTTCCTCTACAATGAGGGCTCAGAGTCTGGGCCCTAGCCCAGCAGTTGCTTGGCAAACAGCAGGTCTCCCAGGCTTCAGAACAATGTGCTCCCTTCCCTTGGTGCGAGTGCCTGCAGTGCCTGCTGGCCAGAGCTGGCCTTGGCACCGTCATCGTTGCAGGTGATGGGGCTTCATGGAGGATCATGTGCTGCGCCCAAGGGAAAGCCCTCTGCCCTTAGGTGCTGCCCAGAGTGCAGCACTGACTCTGTTTCCCGGGCTCCTCTGGCACGTGGGGAGCTGGTCAGGAGGCCTCTATAAAGTCAGTCTTTCCCTTGGTTCTCTGGAATCACAGTTACATCAGTGTACGGAGCATATTCTGTGGCTCTGCTCTTCCTTTAAATGATTGTCGTGGGGTGTTTTATTCTTCTCATCCTTTCATTGTTTTTATTGCCTTAGATTTTTTGCTTACCAAGCTTATCTGAATGCCTCATTCCTGAAATCTCGCTCCAGAAAACATGAAGGCTAGTGATTGTCACTATTTTCTACATTGAAGACCACGGTAGCAAGCTGGGAAAGATAGCTGCACATATATGGATGCCTTTCTCAAAAAGCCACATTACTTCTTGTAAAGTTCACTGAAACTGGGTTTCAATGCTTCTAGGGCAGTGATGGCGAACCTTTGGAGCTCGGCGTGTCAGCATTTTGAAAAACCCTAACTTAACACTGGTGCCGTGTCACATATAGAAATTTTTTGATATTTGAAACCATAGTAAAACAAAGATTTATATTTTTGATATTTATTTTATATATTTAAATGCCATTTAACAAAGAAAAATCAACCAAAAAAATGAGTTCGCGTGTCACCTCTGACACGCTTGTCATAGGTTCGCCATCACTGATCTAGAGCTTGAGACCCCTGCTCCAGAGCAATGACCTTGCACAAGTCAGTGTTTTAAGGAACCATGTCCCACACCTCGGCCACCATGCTTAGAGAAACTTCTCTCCAAACTGTCAGTGAATCCTTTGCCCTTCAATGAGAAAAAGGTCAACTCAAATAATATGTTACTTTTTACAAGTTCTGTTAATATTCAATAACTTCTAAGAGAAAAAAAAAATCTTTGGGAGGGACAGGATTAAGAGAACATCTTTTATTCTTTGCAAAATATTTCCCTTGCCCTCAATGCCAGTGTAATTGATGGACAGAGCTTTGAGTCTTCAAGGTAAACTGACTCAGGCAAATTGCCAAGAGAAGCAAGTCCCAGAACCTCTCCCAGGAGTACTCTGCCCAAAAGCTCAGATCAGAATCTTGACAGTTGGAAGATTCAGCCACACTATGAGCAGGCCCCATGAGACAGTGCTGCATCCAGTCTAGCAAGGCCTGGGCTCCACCACCATGGTAAGCGTTACGCCCATATCATCTTCTATTATCCATAGACACTCTCTAGGAAGAAGTTCATTTATCCCCATTTCAAAGCCTAAGCTTCTACCCACTCTACTACCCTCTCCAGGGCCTGGAGAGGATCTCAGATCAGTTCAGGCAGTTCCTGCCTATCACTTTTGTCCATCCCAGGCCAGTGGCATGGCCACTTCCCCTGGCATCAGGTTTATTATCTAGTTGCAGCTGTGAAGGAGAAAACAGCAATTGTATTAATATTAAAGGATTACTCAGAAGTTCATTCAGATTAAGCATTCTCAGGGAAAGGAGAGAAAAGACATGAACAAAAGATTTAAAAAGATAATGGCTAACTTTGCTAAAAACAGTTTCCACTCAGTATTTTGCCAAGAGTGAACTTTGTTCTCAAGTGGGTTTATTTTTACAACCTCCAAGTGCTAAATTTAACCTTGTTGGCTGCACTTGCTGCTGGAACCGGAGGGCAGATGCTGCTGGTTCTCAAATGGCACTTGGGTTGTGTGGAGGCTGCGGACAACCATCATCATCCTTAAATACCAGAAATAGATTTTTAAGGGATGTGTGCTGATAACCCCATTTAGAACTTGTGGGTACACGCATCATGTTTACTCACTGGATTTTTATTTATATCTGGAGACTGCAAAAGCCCCGAAACTAGGCCTCATGGGGATGAGGACAAAAGCCTAGAAGCCACCTTATTATAGGTGCAATCCTTATTATAAGCTCTTTGCATAGTTTCCGTTGGGGTATGTGTGTGGGTAGGTGTGTGTCTGAACAATGTGAAATGCAGATTTGCATCTAGTTCTTGTAGAAAGCAACAAATTCCAAACCCTCCCAGGGCCCAAAACAATGGGGAACTTTCAGGACACACACTATGGCCTTCCCATGATTTGGATCCACAAATATATGGCCTTTTAGTCTAAGGCAGTGGTTCTCAACCTTCCTCATGCCGCGACCCTTTAATACAGTTCCTTATGTTGTGGTGACCCCCAACCATAACATTATTTTCGTTGCTACTTCATAACTGTAATTTTGCTACTGTTATGAATGGTAATGTAAATATCTGATATGCAGGATGTATTTAGGTGACCCCTGTGAAAGGGTCGTTCGACCCCCAAAGGGGTCGCGACCCACAGGTTGAGAACCACTGGTCTAAGGCCTTTATCTTGCTCCAATTTCTTTTCTGATTTTTAAAAACTTGCAAAACCTAGTTTAACATGAGGTCGGGTACTTTATGAACCCTCAGACTTTTCAATAAAAAAACAACTTCCTCCTCCTGCTTACTTCCCCCTTGCACCCTGGAGCCATTGCCTACCATGCTCCTAATGTACCTGAGAGTTTAGTTGCTTGTAGGGGGCAGAGACAAGGTCCCTAAGGGCTAGGGTTTGGACACTAGCCCTGTTCTGTGATTCCTAAGCCTCAGCATTTTCATTGTTTTCCAGTTCTGAGAATCTTCTCTTCAAAAGACACTTGTTGAGCACCTGTTCTGAAACAAGGGCCAGGTGCCTGAGACACAAAATTATTAAGACATGGTTCTTGTCCTCAGAGAGCCCATAGTCCAGCACGGAGACTGCCCTGTACCTACGGAACACTAACAGTATGAGGGCAGTACTCTGCTAATAGGACGAGCAGAGTGCTTTAAGAACACACAGGAAGGAGAGATTAACTTGGGGGTGGGGCTGGGATGCATGATGGGTCAGCAAGGGCTTAGCAGCACTATGACTGAAGAGCTAATTTTATCAGACACTTTTAGATGTTTAATAATACCCAGTATAAGTTTTTAAAAAATGAGTTAGAGCTCGCTTTTAAAAAATTAACCAAAGCCAAGTTTTATAATAAATAGTTACTAATGGTATATGTGTACATGTGCATGTGTGTGTGAGTTTGTGTGTATGTGGAATTCAAGTGGGATAAAAAGTGAACATGCTGGCTGAGAGACAGAGCTACTCTTGCTACCAGCACTCCCCATCAATACTCACTGGAATTGAAAGCCAAGTGGCAGACACTGTTACCCAAACTGTCTTCAGAGAGGGAAACAGAGTAGAAGGCCTTCTCAGACTCACCCATAGTGAAGGGGCAGACCCAGGGAGGGTCCCTTTTGTTCTGTGTAGCCTAAGCTGACAGGAGGGGAAGGGAGGGGGCATGTGACTCAATACCAACAGCCTGCAAACCTTTGGTTTGGCTCAAAAAGTAGGCTGGACCTGGCCGAAGTTGTTGGGCATTGTCCCAGGCACCAGGAGGTTTCGGGTTCAAGGGCACATGCCTGGGTTGGGCTCTAGCTCTGGTAGGGGGCGTGCAGGAGACAGCCGATGGATGTTGCATTCTCACATCAATGTTTCTCTCTCTCTCTCCCTCCCTTTCCCTCTCCCTTCCTCTCTCTTGAAAAATCAATAAACTATTCTTTAGAAAGAAAAATAAAGTTAGGTTGGATCAGACAGATTTCCCTCTAGGGAATGTGGAATTAGGAAATTGGACCAAACTAGGTAGCAAAGAGAACTTCCAGAGGAAGCTTGTGATGTAGAAAGGGGCCAATGACGGGGCGGGGGGGGGGGGGGGGGCGCGGCTAGAGAAGTTGGAAGACTGACCCTGGCAAGATAAGGTTATGAAGGAGGAGAGCTCGAGGAAGCAAAAGAGGGCAGTTGGCAGAGAGAGGAGAATGGGCAGGTGGGCAGAGAGAGAGAGAGACTCAGAGGCAGAAAAACAAAAAGGCAACTAAGATTTCCAAGTTCTGGCTACATGTGTCCCCTTTTTTATAGTATCCTGAATGGGCCTCTGTCCTCTTTCTGTTCATACGGTATAAGTATGTGCGACCCAAACAAGGAGAGGAGGGATCAGGAAGCTGGGGATGCCTTAAGTTGGAAGCACCAGCTAAAGCCCCTTTTAGAGTATCTTACTTTGTTGTTTCTCCTTCCAACAACTCGTCTGGATGTAATCAATGTAATCCTTCTCTATCGTCTTCTCCAGTTCACGCAGAGATGCTCCCCTGTAGACCTTGTCAAAGTTTTTATCCACAAAGTAAGGCACCTGCAGGTTCTGGGTTTCTCTAGAAATGGTATAGCCCATGGCCCTGAAATATGGAGAGAGAGAGGCTCAGGTAAACTTGTTATATTTAGCAATATTACTCTGCCGGGAGCCGGTCCATGCTTGCTGTTTCAAGGGACCTGGCATATATGGCATACTGTTCTTAATATGTTTGCTCACCTTCTTGGCACTATGTGTTTTAACCAAGGTCTCTGAGAAAGGTTGTTTCCCCAGGTAGGGATTTTCCCCTGAAGTTAGGGAGGGAATAAAACCTCTTAACTAAGTGCCAGGTGGGTAATTAATCACTTTAACTACGAACAATCATGCTTAAGCTACATAATCTTTACTCCCTGGAATGGAGATAAGAAACGCCCTAACCTTTGTAATAGAGATTGATAGGATTGAATCAACTGGTATAAATACAGATGTAACAAGACAGAACGAAGAGAGACGGAACCTAGGCACAGAACCTACACAGAACGTTCTCTAGAGACAGAAGATCTTCGCTGGAGAGAACATGGCAAAAGTTCCTGGACAGAAACTGGCCTCAGAGCCTAGAGACAGAACCTAGCGAGAGAACATGGCAAAAGATCCTGGACTGAACCTGACTACAGAAATTGGCAAGAGAACCTGACTAGAACCTGGTAACTGAACCTGGCTGGAGAACCTGGACAGAACCTGGCTGGAGAACCTAGCGAGGGAACTTGGCTACAGAACCTGGCTGGAGAACCTGGAGAACCTGGCTGGAGAACCTAGAAAGACAACATGGATACAGAACCTGGCTGGAGATCCTAAGCAGAACTTCGCTGGAGATCCAGACCAGAACTTGGCTGGAGATCCTGGCTAGAGATCCTGGCTAGGCTGCTGATCAACTGAACGCTGTCTCTGTGTCATTCCTTCTTTGCCGACTCCATCCACACCTTTGGGGACCCCTGGACCTGCTGGGGTTGGACCCCGGCATTACTCATCACTGGCCTCACAGGTACCATGGTCACAATTACCTCTTCATAGGGCAGACGTAAGGTGTCATTGTCTAATGCACCTAGCATTTGTAACTTCCCTAGCAAAGCAGTAACTGTAATGTTGTCATTATTGCTACTCTATGAGCATGTTCACACTGTGGATTCACCTCAGCATAGTTACTTTATTCTCTTAAAGAAGCCACCTCTTATATTGCTTTCTATGCTAAAAGTAGAATGCTAATGCTTAAAAAACAATTTGGATATTGTGTAGGACCTAGCATGGTACCGGGCACAGAGCAGGCTATTGGTAAATGTTGGTTGAATAAACTGATTGTTACAGTACACTATCCTATATAATAAAAGCCTAATATGCTAAGTGTCCAGTCATCCATTCAACCAATCAAAGCATAATATGCTAATGATATGCTGAGGCCACTCAACTGCTTGCTATGATGTGCACTGACCACCAAGGGGCAGACAGTCGACCGGTTGACCAGCTGGGGTAGATGCTCCTACCGGTAGGTTAGCTTGCTGCTCGGGTCTGAGCAAGACAGGCCGGACATGCCCTGGAGCCCTCCCGCATCCTTCTCCGGCTCTGATCATGCACGGGTGGGAGTCCCTCAGCCTAGCCTGCGCCTTCTCACAATCCGGGACCCCTTGGGGGATGTCGGAGAGCCAGTTTTGGCCCAATCCCGCAGGCCAGGCCGAGGGACCCCACTGGTGCATGAATTTGTGCACTGGACCGCTAGTTTATAAATAACCAGATAGATTACACCCACCTAGCATCAATCTTTAGGACAAAATAAAATGTACACACATAGCTGCTAAGTGAGAACTGCAAAAAACTAAGAAAAAAATTTTAATGATGCTTCTGGGCTAACTCTCTGTGGTCTAAGATATTCAATGGTATTTGGTGCTTAGAAACATTGACAGGTCTGGGTTAACTAAATTCTAACCATAAAGAAGTATAGAAGGGAACTCAAATTCCAATGAAAACAATGTGACAGCAATGTGCAAAATGCAAGTTGATTTTATTCAAACTGGACAAATTCTATCTCAAATGAGTTATAGCTGACTTTTCCCCAGCCTTCTCCTTTGTTCTCTCTACTTAAGGATCTTGCCGAATGTCTAAGAGCTCAGGTCATGACTTCTCTCACTTCTCTTTGGGAAGCTGTTAGCAGGTTTCTGACTGCCCCACTACCTGACAAGAAAGAAGGTAGCAATAGCGTATGGAAAAACATGGCAAGCAGGAAATGGAGGGAATCAGGCCACTGTAATCTAATAGTAATGACTTATCTCTGAGTCTCAGATTTCTTCTTTGTAAAATGAAGATATTGACTTAAAATGATAGCTTTCAGCCCTGGCTGGTTTGGCTCAGTGGATAGAGCGTCGGCCTGCGGACTGAAGGGTCCCAGGTTCAATTCCGGTCAAGGGCATGTACCTTGGTTGTGGGTACATCCCCAGTGGGGGGTGTGCAGGAGGCAGCTGATCGATGTTTCTCTCTCATCGATGTTTCTAACTCTCTAACTCTCTCCCTTCCTCTCTGTAAAAAATCAATAAAATATATTTAAAAAAAAAAAATGATAGCTTTCAGTCTATAGTGATCATCAACAAACACTCTTCCTATTGCCCTGGCTGGGAAGCTCAGTTGGTTGGAGTGTCATCCCATACACCAAAAGGTTACCACTTAGATTTCTGGTCAGGGCAAATACCTAGGTTGCAGGTTTGATCCTGGGTCAGGGTGTGTACAGGAGGCAACTGATCAATGTTTCTCTCTCACATCAATGTTTCTCTCTCTCTCAAGTCAATAAAAAAATGTCATCAGCTGAGGATAAAAAAATATATTAAAAAAAAGACTCTTCCTGTTGGGTATTGCCTCATGGACTGCATTTTGTAAAATTTTTGTCTGCTAAACTATAATAATAAGTAATGACTAATTTATCATGATTAATTTTTAAAAATAATGATTCTTGAACATTCATATGGACCAGGATAATCTGGAAGGCTTGTTGAAACTCACATTATTGCTCTGGCCAGTTTTGCTTAGTGGTTAGAACATCAGCATGTGGACTTGAAGGGTTGCAAGTTTGATTTCTGGTCAAGGGCATGTACCTCAATTGCAGATACCCCAGCCCCAGTAGGGGCTCGTGCAGGAGGCAACTAATCTATGTGTCTCTCTCTCTCATCTCTCTCTCTCTCTCTCTCTCCCTCTCTCTCTCTCTCTCTTTCTCTCTCTCTCTCTCTCCTCCTCCTCCCTCCTTTCTACTCTCTAGAAATCAATAGAAAAAATATCCAAATATCCTCGGGTGAGGATTAAAAGAAACAACACTGAGGTTCTCATCCTCAGAGTTTCTGATTCCATAGATATGGAGTGAAACCTAAGAGTATGCATTTCTAATACATTTATGTTTTTTAAAATATATTTTTATTGATTTCAGAGAGGAAGGAAGAGGGAGAGAGAGACAGAAACATCCATGATGAGAGAGAATCATGGATCGGCTGCCTCCTGCAAGTGTTGCACTGGGGATTGAGTCTACAACCTGGGCATGTGCCCTTGACTGGAATCGAACCTGGGACCTTTCAGTTTGCAGGCTAATGCTCTATCCACTGAGCAAAACAGGCTAGGGCAAGAGTATGCATTTCTAACATGTTGCCAGTTGATGCTGATTATGCTCTGGGGACTAACTTTGAAAATTGAATTAATTGAAATAATTAATGGAAGAAATTAAAATATTCCTATGAGAGCTCATAATCTGCATGAGATACAAAATTACAATGATTTTCTACATTTTCAGCAAAAGAATGTGATACTATGGTTGACTATGGAGCCTTATGAATAAATGTTCTATTTTTGCAATTTCTTAAATTTAAAATCACTGGATCTCAGTTACTATGTTCCCAGATCCAGGTGGGGAGGGGGTGGGGGAGTCCAGCAATCCTACCACAAGCTCAGTAGGCCCTTTCTAACATGGTGTGATAAGGATTTAATCTGAACTTGGAGTTATTTTATTAGTCCTTCAGAAGCCAGTTGTTGCTGTCCTGCAACTGACCAGATGATGTCGCTGTACAACAAAACAATCCATGTCCTGAGCACACAGGAAACTGCCTACAGGATTTTTGAGAATCTTTGCACTATTACTATCCAACTGTTCCTTTAAATACAAAATCTGTGTTTTTACAACAAAAGGTGAAATGAAATGTTAGTAACATACAGGAAAAACCTTCAAGTCTTTTACCTTTCAGATTATTGTTAAGATTCATAAATATTTGACTTACGATTTGTAGAATAGACTGTATGGGGGATTAGTAGCTAGCAGCTGAGTAATAACAGATATAATCACAATCACAAGAACTGGAAGTAACTGAATAAATGCAGAATACGTAGTCTGAAAAAGAAAATATATTTGGTGTAAGTGTTCTTCATCAATATAAAACTTATAGAAAATAAGATTCTTTTCCCAAAGAAAATACAAATTACCAATGCACTGCCCAAAGCCCAAGGCTTTTTTGGGAAGGCTATACTTTGCAGAGACGTACCAAACAACTCTGTTCTTTCTGCTGAGAAATTTGAAGGAGACCCACCCACAACCTGATTGACACCCAGTAATTCTCCTGTATTCCCCTTTTCTAAGACAAATGAAGCAGACACTTCTGGGTGAGTCTGCCCGGACTGCTACTCTCATGGGGTCGTGTTAGTATTATATAACTTTGTTGCCGGTCACAGCTGAACAGACTGGGGGACATCCAACCTAGCAAGGATAATCACATTCCCCACCCCATAGGAATTGGGGTTGAGAACTATCACCAGTGACTGCCAGGTAGTCACTCTTAGGCACTGGGGATTGGCCCTTTGCAAAGGGAAGTAGGACAAACCAGGCTGATTACAGAGAACAAAGCAGATGAAAAGAGATGGGAAAACTGGAGATAATATGGCCCCAACTAGTCACGGAGAGCACAGTTGTGTGGGTGCCTGACAGCACCCCAGTGCCTGGTTTCCATCTATCAGACGAGATCGGGCGCGTTCAGGGTGGTATGGCCGTAGACGGTTTCCATCTATCATGAGACATAGCTGCACTTCCTGCCCTTGAACTTCATGAAACTCCCTAGATCCCTTACCTTAAATTGATAATTTGTATCTTCTGCATTCAAGAAAACCTTGACTGAAGTACCCCACAAGGGAAATAGTTTCCTGGGCCAGCCACCAAAGAATGCGTAGGTAAGAGAGTTACTATTCTGGCCTCTTTGAGTCAATTACCCAGCTCTTCTTACCATTGCCTCTGCTTTTCTAAAGCACATTTCAGTAGCATATTCTCAGGTTAAACTTCTAATACCTGATCAGATACCATAGAGGCCGTTCAGTACAAGTGTTTATGAGTAGCAGCTCTCCTATCCTCCCCACGTACCTGAGGTTTATCTTCTTCCTCCTCCTTCCGTTTCTGCACCCTCTCCTGTCGGTGCCGCCGGCGGTAATAGTGGGTATCATCTGTCACATTTGAAAACATATGAATATTTCCTGGAAAAGAAGAAAAACCCTTAGTATGGGATATGGCAAACACTTCTTCCTTGCCTCTTCCAAGGTCCTTCTTCCCAATTAGGTCCTCTGTGGTTAGAGTATTGTCCCATTTTGCCCAGTAGAAAAATAAGACCGTAGGCAAGCCAAGTGAACCAGCTGGAGATGGAATGTGCTTAGCTCTCCTGCCTTTATTTAAATAGTCCTCTATAACCAGTGAGTGAGAGGACTCCAAAAGGGGAGTAAAGAAAGAGCATCTGGGCCATGGGTCTTGTCCGACACGCTTATGCTTGCTTCCTTGACCAATATCAGAATCTTTAATAGCAACTCATAAAATTCATCTTACTTCCTGGGCATTTAATTAAACCAATTTCCAACTCTCTAGGGGTACTTTTCTAACTTTTATCTTTATATAGCTGCTATTTTGCAATAATAATAACAAGAACAAATGGTATATTGTTACTTATTCATAAAGCACTTAGAAATATCTAATCCTCACAGCAGCCCTATGAGGTAGGTATTACTAACTCCATTTTTCAGGTGATGAAACAGGATAAGAGAGACTAAGGGATTTGGTCAAACTCATGCACAGTTGGAGGCTAGAGACTTGACTCAAATCCCAGTTCACCTGATTCCAAATTCCTGCTGTTTTCATCATATCATGTCCCTCTATTCAGATCCTCAAACAGGAGCTTGCTGATATATAAATTTTTTCAGGATAATTTTGGGATACTGACCTGTAGGAAATTGTCCTCCAAAGAAGACATTGAACAACTCTTCTGGAGTGATGTCAGCTTCAAAGTCCCTGTAATAATGATAAGATCTGGCTCGAGGGGCAGTGAAAGTCACTTGCTCATCTCCATATTCATCATAGCGGAGTCTCTTGTCCGGATTGCTAAGAACTGCAAAGGCATTTCCTATTGCTGCAACCAAAACAAAAAAGTACCTGAGTACATAGTCTTTGCTGTAGCTGAGGGTGATCACAGTAGCTGCGATGAAAAGCCCGGAGTTGATTGGTGCTGGATAACTTCACAGGGGCCTAAGACCGTGGTCGGCAAACTGCGGCTCACGAGCCACATGCGGCTCTTTGGCCCCTTGAGTGTGGCTCTTCCACAAAATACCACTTGGCCGTGCACGTATAGTGCGATTGAAACTTCATGGCCCATGCACAGAAGTCGGGTTTCGGCCTGGGCGAGTCTATTTTGAAGAAGTACTGTTGGTATTTGGCTCTGTTGACTAATGAGTTTGCCGATCACTGGAAGGGAAGTGGTTGGGCCTAGAAAGTTCACCAAAGTGCTTGCCCTTGAAATTTTCCATGATCTAGTTTGAAAACAACACTGCACTCAAGATGAACTAAGAACTACTGTTTTCATTCATCAAAAATGTTCTTATTTCATTTGAGAGCTATAGTTTATTACTGGAAATAGTTCATACATAAGTAGTGGTGTTCTACTTGAAGTATAGAAACAATCTCCTGAATGAAATAACCAGTAAAATTATTGTTTGGATAAAAGCAAAATCCTTACTCATCACAATCTTATTCAGCTTCTTTTACAAAATGGCCTTTAGAAATTAGTGAGAGATCAAAGACTGAATAGATTACATATGCTTATCATCACCTCTCCTCCCTATTTGTCCAATTTCATTTAACATAAACATATAATCCATACCTCTAATTAAAGAATGCCCCCAGAAAAATCTTTTTGTTTGTTTGTTTGTTTGTTTTTGTTAATCCTCAACCGAGGATATTTTTCCATTGATTTTTAGGGAGAGTGGAAGGAGAGGGAAAGACAGAGAAACATCGATGTAAGAGAGACACATCAGTTGGTTGCCTCCTGCATGAGCCCCACCAGGGCCCAGGCTGGGGAGAAGTCAGCAACCAAGGTACGTGTCCTTGACCAGAATCAAACCTGGACCCTTTGGTCTACAAGCTGACACTCTATTCACTGAGCCAAACCGGCTAGAGCAGAAAAATCTTTTAAAACATCCCCACCCCTACCTGTGAGTCAGTCAACTCTATCAAAACACAGTCAGAAAGAGCATTTCTTTATGATTCTTCTACCTAAGTAATTATTAAATATTTACAGCAATAAAACAGCTAAATAGAAAAAAAACCCCACAAAAACCTAAATAAAGTTGCTTAAACATTCACATCCCTTGAAATATGGCAGATTTATCAAAGAAATGGCATTAGTCTGTGAGATACCTTACATGAAGGTGTAAAGAGAAGGTGGGTTACCTATTTGTTTCCTTGTAGAAACTGTGGGGAGAACTAGATTCATAATGGCACATAATCTGAGGCAAATGGTGACTTAAAAAAATTTCTCTGATCTATAATTTTTTAATTTTTCTTTTGAAAAATTTCAAATCTATAAACAAGTTGAAAAAGAGTACAATAAACACATGTATACCCTTTACCTTAATTCATCAATTTTGCCACATTGCTTTCCTTAACTCTCTATACATACATACATATATACATACATACATACATACATATCCTATATAATAAGAGGCTAATATGCAAATCAACTGGATGGCGGAACGACTGGTCACTATGACATGCACTGACCACCAGGGGGCAGACGCTCAACGCAGGAGCTGCCCCCTGGTGGTCAGTGTGCTCCCACGGCAGGGGGAGACGGGGGACGGGGGGACTACTCAGCCAGAAGCCGGGCTCACTGCTGGCGAGTGTAGCGGCGTTGGCGGGAGCCTCTCCCGCCTCCATGGCAGCACTAAGGATGTCCGACCATGGGCTTAGCCATCATCTGGACATCCCTCAAGGGCTCCTGGACTGCAAGAGGGCATAGGCCTGGCTGAGGGACCTGCCCCCAGTGCATGAATTTCATGCACCGGGCCTCTAGTTACATAAACATTTCTTTTGCTGAGCCATGGGAAGTAGGCTGCATTATAACACTTTACCCCTAATATTTCAACATATGTCTCCTAAAAAGAAAAACATTCTCCTACATGATCACAATGCCATTATCACAGCTAAGAAAGTAACATTATTACCCAATAAATCCATGCAAGGTTTATGTATTGCATTTGGTTTTACATCTCTTTAGTTTCTTTTAATCCAGCACAGTCTCTCCAAATTACTTGCTTTTCATTATATTGAATTTTTTGAAGAGTAGCTCAGTGTTCTTTGTAGAATGTCTCATATTTTGATTATCTTCTCAATGTTAAATTCAGGTCAAACATTTTGGCAAGAATACCACATAGGTGCTATACTACATAATGTTAGGTTGTTCCAGTGCTAGTGATAAGTTGGATTATTTGGTTAAAGTGGTGACAGCTAGATATCTCCATTATAAAGGAATTTCCCCCTTTTATAATCAATAAGTATTCTGTGGGGTAATACTTTGACATCATGTGAATATCCTATTCAACAACCACCTATCACCCATTGGTTTTAACATCCATTGATAATCCTTGCCTGAGTCCATGACTTCACTGGCTTGAAGCTCTTAAGTAAGATTTTTATTTATGTATTGGGTCAAAAATATTTTTAAGAATGTTTCTTAAAGTATCATGGAAATCAATGGAAAAAAGTTTACACAGATTTTTCATATGAACATGTTAATAACAGGTTTCATGAACAAAGAGCTCCATGGCCAGAGAAGTTTAGGAATGCTGTCTAGGCCCTACTTGGCTTATAAGTTCCACAAGAGGAATCATGTTTGTTATACTCACCATGACATCTGGCACACAGATATTCAATAAATATTTGTGGAATCAATGGATATATAGTTCCAAAAAGTATTACAAAGAAACCAAATATTTTTTCCAAAAGCAATTAAGGTGAAGTGAATGAAGACAGGAGGAAGCTATTCTGATAATCACTATTTAAGAGGTGTGGCAGGGGGAAAAAACCTCTGCTGTGGCTTTATAAAAGAATTACAGGGGAGTCTGAAAACAACTTGTTATGAGAGAACATCACAGGAAGGGCAGAATTAATCCCTAGTTCAGGACCAGACCTTTGAAAGCATCTGTTGCTCCCGGAGCACAGTTCTTGTCAGGGTGAAATTTCAGGGCAAGTTTTCGGTAAGCTTTCTTAAGCTCTTCATCACTGGCATCTCGAGAAACTCCCAGAATTTCATAGTAATTTCTGCATTTCTTGATTCTAAAAACACACATCAGAAACATATATGTCTACAAAGGCCTCTTTTTTACAAGTAACTGCAAAGTAGTACACTGATCCTCCCTCCAACTGGTGAGCCCTAAAACAAACTTAAAAGAAAATTGCTGAACACATTAATGAAACATTCATAGTCATTAACAATGTCCTCCCACTGAGAACTCAATGCCTTTCGAAGTATTTTTACATCTAATATTTTATTCTTTCTATATTCCTGCAAGTTAATAGAACAACTGTGCTAAATCTCACTATCAAGGTGCAGGCGAGGGTCCTGAGAGTTGAACCACAGGACCACAGGACAGTAACGCTAGAAGAAACACCTAACCACCCTAATTTGTGTGCATTTCTCTCTCTCTCTCTCTCTCTCTCTCTCTCTCTCTCTCTCTCTCTCTCTCTCTCTCTCTCTCTCTCTCCCTCTCTCCTTATGGCTATCTTTTTTTTATTTTATTGATTTTTTACAGAGAGGAAGGGAGAGGGATAAAGAGTTAGAAACATCAATGAGAGAGAAACACCGATCAGCTGCCTCCTGCACACTCCCCACTGGGGATGTGCCTGCAACCAAGGTACATGCCCTTGACTGGAATCAAACCTGGGACCCTGAGTCCGCAGGCTGACGCTCTATTCACTGAGCCAAACCGGTCAGGGCTATGGCTATCTTTTTAAACTTTGTTTTTAAAAGTTAATATAGACACATGGTAGAAGAAAAATATCCAACAGTACTAAATTATATACAGTGAAAAAATTTCCTGCTTCCCCATTCCCTATCACCCAGTAACCCACCTTAAGGACAACCACTGTTATGAGTTTCCTTTGAGTCCTATATACAGAGTGATTATATGTATAGATACCTTTCTATTTTTTCTTACTTAAATGGCAGCTTTTAGATAATTATAATCACCTCTCTAAATTAATCTTGCTTTTATAAACTAACAATTTCTCTTAGAGATTGCATAACAAACAGAGATAGGAAGTATAGAATAATAGTTTAGACTAGAGTGTCAGTTCTGAACATTCTGATCTCAGAAAATTTTTTATACTCTTTAAAATTATTAAAGACCCCCAAAGAGCTTTTGTTCATGTGAGTTATATCTATCAATATTTACCTTACTAGAAATGAAAACAAAACAAATTTAAAACACAGCCCTGGCCAGTTTTTCTCAGTGGTTAGAGTACCAGCCTGTGGACTGAAGGGTCGTGAGTTCGATTCCAGTCCAGGGCACGCGTGTACCTCAGTTACACGCTCTATCCCCAGCTGCAGTTGGGGCGTGTGCAGGAAGTAACCACTCGATGTGTCTCTCACATCAATGTTTCTCTCTCTGTCTCTTCCCCTCCCTTCCACTCTCTCTGAAAATCAGTGGAGGAAATATCCTTGGGTGAGTATTAACAAAAAAAATTTTTTTAAACAAAGTGATGATATAATTACATATAGGTAGCCTCTCAAAAACTTCACTGTACAATCCTGAGAGAATAAGAATGAAAAAAGGCAAATCATGTTTGTATTATAAAATAATTTTACACTTGCAGACCCCTCAAAAGGGTCTTGGGATTCCTAAACCACACTTTGAGACCTGCTGGACTAGAGCATGAACTCTGGAATCAAAATGCTTTGGCTGGGATCTGATCTTACTGTGTAATTAACCTCTGTGCCTTCGTGTTGTCTTCTGAAATGGACTAATAATGATTACTATTTTCACAGAGTTATGATTAAATGAAATATTCATCAAAGTGCTTGATAGCATCTGCCATTACATAAATATTGGCTAGTATTATATATCTACCTCATTCTTTTAAAAAGCTGCACATTATTGATGTATATACTAGTACATCCCCTACTGATGGGCATTTAGAATGTCTCCAGTCTTTTGCTACTACACAATTCAGTTAGGCAGGCAGAGACCCAAAGCCTTGTTGAAGAGTTCATAGTAAATAACACATCTTTTTTATTATAGCCATCCTAGTGGATATGAGATAGTATGATATTTCGTTGTGACTTTGATTTGCATCTCCCTAGTGACTAATGATGTTGAGCAATTTTTCATGTGCTTATTGGCTATTTGTTTGTCTTCTTTGGAGGAATGCCTATTCAGATCCTTTGCCCATTTTACAATTGAATTGTCTTTTTGCTTTTGAATTGTAAGAGTACTTTATATGGGCCCGGCTGGTGTTGCCCAGTGGTTGAGCATCGACCCATGAACCAAGAGCTCATCAGTTTGATTCGCGGTCAGGGCACATCCTATGCCCAGGATGCTGGCTGTAGGGGCGTGCAGGAGGCAGCTGATCAATGCTTCTCATAGATGTTTCTATCTATCCTTCTTTCTCTCTCTAAAAAAAAAAAGAGTATTTTATATGGATACAAGTCCTTTATCAGATATATAACTTGAAAATATTTTCTCCTGTACTGTGGGTTGATTTTTCACTTTCTTGATGGTATCTTTTAAAGTACAAAAGTTTTAAATTTTGATAATATCCAATTAATCTATTTTTTCTTTTGTTGTTTGTGTTTTGGGTGGTATATCAAGAGATCATTGCCTAATCCAATGTTACAAAGACTTGCATTTATGTTTTTTTCCTAAGAGTTTAATAGTTTTCACTCTTTTTTTTAATATATATTTTTATTGATTTCAGAGAGGAAGGGAGAGGGAGAGATAGAAACATCAATGATGAGAGAGAATCATTGATTGACTCCCTCCTGTATGTCCTCCACTGAGGATCGAGTCTACAGCCCAGGCATGTGCCCTGACTAGGAATCGAACCCTGACCTCCTGGCTCATAGGTCAATACTCAACCACTGAGTCATGTCAGCTGGGCTATAGTTTTCACTCTTACATTTAGGTTTTTATATTCGGTCTTTGAATTAATTTTTGTATTTGTGTGAGGAGGGGTCTAAGTTCGTTCTTTTGTATGTAGCTATTCAGTTGTCCAAACAACATTTGTTAAAGACAATTTGTTACCCCATTAAATTGTCTTGGCACTCTTGTCAAAAATCAATTGCCCATAATATAAATAAAGGTTTATTTCTGGACTCTCAATTATATTTCATTAATCTACATGTCTATCCTATACTAGTCCACATTGTCTTCATTACTGTAGCTTTGTAGTATGTTTTAAAATTAGGAAATATGAGTCCTCCAACTTTGTTCTTCTTTTTCAAAACTGTTTTGGCTATTCATTTCCATATGAATTTTAGGAACAGCTTGTCAATTTCTGCAACAAGAGCAACTGGGAATTTGATAGGGATGTATTAAATCTGTTGATCAATTTGGGGATTACTACAAATTACCAATAATAAGCCTTCTAATCCATGAACACATTATCTTCCCATTATTTAGATCTTTAATTTCTTATAATAAAGTTTTATAGTTTTCAATATAAAAGTTTACTCTTCTCTTGCTAAATTTATGCCTAAGCATTTCATTCTTTTTTGATAGGGTTATAAATGAAACTGGCTTTTTGGGCATTGTTTGTCGTCCCCACCCCCACCCCCATCCCCATTTTTGGATTGTTCATTGCTATTGTATAGAAAAACAAAGATTTCTGTATGCTGATCTTACATTTTGCAACTCTGATGTACTCATTTATTTGTTCTTTTTAAAATATATATATATATTTTATTGATTTATAAAAAAATATATTTTATTGATATTTTTACAGAGAGGAAGGGAGAGGGATAAAGAGTTAGAAACATAGATGAGAGAGAAACACCCATCAGCTGCCTCCTGCACATTCCCTACTGGGGATGTGCCTGCAACCAAGGTACATGCCCTTGACCAGAACCGAACCGGGGACCCTTCAGTCCGCAGGCTGACGCTCCATCCACTGAGCCAAACCAGTTAGGGCTGTTCTTTTTTTAAAAATTTCTTTATTGATTAAGGTATTACATATGTGTCCTCATCCCATTACCCCCCAAACCTCCCCTATTTGTTCTATAGCGTATGTGTGTGTGTGTGTGTGTTTTCCTTAGGATTTTCTATACTAGATCATATCACCTGTGAATTCAGTTTTACTTCTTTCCAATCTAGATGGCTTCTATTTCTTTTTATTGATTAACTTCCCTGGCTTGGAGCTCTAGCACAGTGTTGAATAGAAGTGGCTAGAGCAGGGGTGGGCAAACTTTTTGACTCGGGGGCCACAATGGGTTCTTAAACTGGACCAGAGGGCCGGAACAAAAGCATGGATGGAGTGTTTGTGTGAACTAATATAAATTCAAAGTAAACATCATTACATAAAAGGGTACGGTCTTTTTTTTTTTTTTAGTTTTATTCATTTCAAACGGGCTGGATCCGGCCCGCGGGCCGTAGTATGCCCACGGCTGGGCTAGAGTGAACATACTTGTCTTGTTTCTGATCTTGGAAAGCATCCAATTGTTCATCATTAAGTATGATGTTAGCTGTGGATTATTTGTAAATGGTAGCTGTGGATTATTTGTAGGTTGAGGAAGTGTCCTTCTATTCCTACCACGCTGAGTGTTGTTATTACGAAAGAGTATTAAATTTTGTCAAATGCTTTTTCTGCACCTATTTAAATGATCATGTGGCTTTTGTCCTTTATTCTATTAATATGGTGTATTACATTAATTGATTTTCATATGTTAAGCAACCTTGTATTCCTGGGATAAATACAACTTGGCCAAGTCTACAATCCTTTTTATGTTTTTATATGTTTCTGAAATCTATATCCATGGAGACATTAGTTGATAGTTTAAATTTCCTGTGATGTCTTTGTCTGGTTTTGGTTACAGGGTAATACTGGTCTCATAGAGTGGGTTGGAAAGTGTCCCCTTCTCATGTATTTTTTTTGTAATAGTTTGTGAAGGATTAGTTAATTATTGTTCAGTAGATTTTACCAGTGAAGCCATCCTGGCTGGCATTTTCTTAGTGGTAAGTTTTGTGACTATTAACTCAATCTCTTTCTTATAGGTCTATATGATTTTCTGTTTTTTCTGAAACAGTTTCAGTAGTTTGTATCTGCCTAGGAATTTGTCCATTTCATCTAGGTTGTCTAATTGGTTGGCATATAATTATTCATAGTACTTTCCTATAATCATTATTTTTGTAAGATTAGTGTGATGTACCCACTTTCATTCTTGATTTTAGTTATTTAAATATTCTCTCTTTTTTTTTCTTGGTTTGTCTAGATTAGAGATTTCCAAATGGTGTGCCACAAGAATTTTTAAAACATGCAATACCTACTAGCCAGGGGTACTGACCTCTTTTTCTTTAGATCAGGGGTGGGAAACTTTTTTTCTGGCAAGGGCCATTTGTATATTTATAATATCATTCACTTAACATAATTCACTTAATATAAATTTATGTTGCTATGAAAAAAGCTCCTAGATTTACTGAATTTCAAGTCCCTCTGTGGTTGCCTTGGCAGGGACAGACCAAATGATTTTGTGGGCCTTATACAGCCCAAGGGCTGGATGTTTACCACCCCTGCCTTAGATTGTCAAATAAAAATGATGACAACAACCAACAATAGCCATCCGGTGTAAATGAATCAAAATTATACCTATTCTTTGTTAGATCAAAATATATATTTTTGGTGTGCCACAGAATTTTAGTAATTAGTTTGTGTGTCATGAAATAAATGAAAAAGATGAAAATCGCTGGTGTAGATGAAAGTTTGTTAATTCTGTTGATATTTAAAAAAAACAACACACCAACTTTTGGTTTTGTTGCCTTTATTGCCTTTCCATCTTCTATTTCATTTATTTCCACTCTATTATTTCCTTCAGTCTTCTTTCTTGGATTTAGTTTGCTCTTCTTTTTTTGTTTGTTAGTTTGTTAAGGTAGAAGATTAGGTTAGTCATTTGAGATTTAAATATATGTTTACAGCTATAAATTTCCTTCTAAGTATTGCTTTAGCTGCATCCATTATGTTTCAGTATGCTGTATTTTCACTTTCATTCATCTCAGAGAATTTTCTGATTTTCCTTGTGATTTCTTCTGTAACCTTTGTTATTTAGGAATATGTTGTTTAATTTTAATATTTGCAAATCCTTCTGTTGTTGATTTCAGAGAACATACACTGTATGATTTTTTTGTTTATCCTCACCCAAGGGATAGAATCTAGGTATGTGCCCTGATTGGGAATCGAATCTGCAACCTTTCGGTGTATGGGATGACACTCCAACCAACTGAGCCACCTAGCCTGGGCCACTGTATGATTTTTTTAAAAAATTTTTATTTTTAAAAAATATTTTTTTATTTATTTCAGAGAAAGGAGAGGAAGAGAGAGAAGAAACATCAATGATGAGAGAGAATCATCAGTCGGCTGCCTTTTTCAGGCCCCCTACTGGAGATAGAGCCCACAACCCAGGCATGTGCCCTGACCGTGAGTCGAACTGTAACCTCCTGGTTCATAGGTTGAAGCTCAATCTCTGAGCCACACTGGCCGAGCAGGCCACTGTATGATTTTAATAATTTTAAATTTATCGAGGCTTGTTTTATGACTTAACATATGATCTATCCTGGAGACTGTTCCAAATATATTTGAGAAGAAAGTGTATTTTGCTGTTTTGGGGTAGAATGTTATATAGATGTCTGTTATATCTAGTTGATTTTTCCTGCCTCTTTTATAGAAGCAGGAAAGATACCTCAGATTACACCTCACTACTCCATGTCCACCTAGTTCTGCCCCTGAGGTGAAGAAGCTATTATGCTTCAATCATCATCATCATCATCTATAATAAAAAAGCATAATATGCTGATTAAACCAGACGTCCTTCTGGATGACCTTCTGGACAAAGCCAGGGCTGCAAGGGAAGCCCAGGTCCCAGGTGCCAGAGGGAAGCCGGTGCTGGCAGCCGGGGGAAGGAAGGCCTACTCTTGCACGAATTTCGTGCATTGGGCCTCTAGTAATAATAATAAACAATAACAATAGCAGTCAATACTAATAGTATATAGCACATTGTGCCAGGCATTCTACATAAAATCACTCAATCCCATCACAGGCTCACCTTTGTACCCCAAGCAGTTGGTCCTCAGTATAAGTGGCACTCCCCTCGCCCTGCCAGGTCTGATTCCACTCATTCTCAGACTTCTTTTCCTTTTCCGCCTTCATGCAGTTACAGCAACCACAGGGATCATGACTTTCAGGAGGTCTGTCTTCTGGGTATTTGTTTCTTCTAGCTGCATCAATGTAAGCTGCAAAGCAACCGCCCCTCCATTAGGTCTCAGTCTGACCTGCAAATCAACTTTGCTACCTCCCTTAGCCATCTGGGAGGCTGCTTGTAGATATGAGCAGGTGAGGGCCAGGCTACTGACATCATGCTGACTTTTAAGCATCCATACAAGAACGAACAAACATCTTCCTCGAGAAAGCAATACAGAAAATGTGGAGGCAAACATGACAAACTTATAATGCCAGAAACATAAAGCATAATAATGTCCACCATAGCTACAGTGGTCAGTCAGCAAATAATTTTGACTCAAAACCAGAAAAGGTGCTCAAGAGTTGTCTGCCCAATACCTTGCCTTTAGTGCAATGCTGTGGGAAGCCTCGTTCTCTGTGGTCCATGGTCAGAAGTGACATTGCTCATAAAATAACAGTTTTGGTTGCAATTCCTCCCACCACTAAGATTTAAAATAGAGATGAGTTCAATTCTTTTAAACTGATGTTTAGGACACTGGTTAAATAGATCAAGGAGATGTACAGGTAAGATCTATTCCTGACCATAAAAACATTATAAAGGGAGAGAGTTCAATTAACCCTAACACCTGCAGAATGTAAAGAGAACCATAGTAATCCAGTCAAAGAAGGCAAGTACTCATGTCCCATCTGGAGGATATGGGAAAGGTTTTTAAAACATTCTTCTCCTGCTTAACATCCCCTAGTGACTGTGCACTGCTCCTTGGCCAAATTTCTAATCATGGGCTCAGGCGCCTCTCTAGCCTCATCTCTAACCACATGCTCGTAACTGGTCTATGTTAGCCACACCAAACTCCTTTCAGATCAGCAGTGCTTTCTCTTTTCTCTGTTCCTTCTGCCTGCACCATTCTTCCACTAGGTCAGCCTGACTAACTCCAACCATTCGTTACGTCATCCTATGTAACACTATCTCCATAAGACCTCTGACACCCAGGCCATGTTGGGTTCCTTGTCAGTGTGCTTCCCAGAACTAAACCTTGCTGTGTACAGCCCAGGACTTAACTGGCCCTGTTTTGTAATTGGCTGTTTGCCTGTCGTACTCCCTTAGTGAACTAAAGAGTTCTGTGATCTCAGGGGCACACGTCTGTCAAGTCCCCGCTGCGGGATCAGCAAGCATAATGCAGGATTCAAAATAGGTATTGGATCAATACTCTTTGCCTGACTGTAGGATAGAAAAGGCCGGCCTGTCGGCCTTGATGCGGGCTGCAGAGACAAGAGCAAACTGAGACCAAGGATCCAGCAGCCCAGTTTGGTAGCGAGGATAAGGGCCGGGAAAGAAAGCTGCGGGAGACCTCACGGCCTGCTGGCCCTCTGGACACCCAGGTGCAGGCGGTCTGACTGCCGCGGAGCCTGGGCGGGGCCCTGGCGGGGCGGGGCTGGGGGCTGGAGGCAACAAGTCGTCACGGATGACTCTGGGCTGCCGGTCGGTTCCTCTGCCTGAGCCAGCGCTCCTGGTTTCTGGACCGTACCCTGGGCGGTCCACCACCTCATCCGGAACCCTACTCGGGCTCAACATGTTCTCATAGGTCTCCATTCTTCACCTGAGGCCCAGAATCTCAGCCTTCGGGCACCTTCAAGGTCCCCATCCCTGATCTCTGCCGAACCCTGCCCTGTCCCACCCTAAGACCAGGACCTGGTACCTTCCGTCCAGCGCTCCCCGCTGCCCAGAGTAGCTGCCATTCTGGTTCCCAGTCAGCAGGTCAACCGAACCTCCCCGGCGCCTGAGGCTGAAAAAGATGGGGGGCGGGGCAAGAAGCGCAGGGCATGCTGGTCGTTGTAGTCCAACCCATTGAAGCTGCGGGACATTGGACTACAACTTCCGGCAGGCTCCGGACGAGGGACAGTCGGCGATGCTAAGGAGTAAGGGGTTCTTACTTGGTGAAAGCGAGGCCTGTGGGGTGGCTTGCTGCTAGCTGACTGCTGCGCGGCTAGTGGCTCACAGCAGGAAACGATGGCCCTGTGGGCCCAGCTTTTCCTCATCTGCGGAGTGGGGATAGTGGCTTTGGCTCTGCCTAAAACTGGGGACTTTCGAGGAGGCGTGATGAGATCCTTCCTGGAAAAGGCTTTGCAAACTGTGGGCTAGCTAGACTCTAGCACCGCTAGAGCGTGACAGTATGACTATTTTTCTCCTCAGGATGTCATTTTAAAATATACACTAATGCCCCCTGGTCGGATAGCTCAGTTGATTAGAGCATCGTCGGGATATGCCAAGGTTGCGGGTTCCATCCCAGCTCAGGGCGCATAAAAGAGTCAAAACAATGGATGCATAAATGGGAATAGCTGGCTTCTCTCTTTCCCTCCCTCCCTCTCTCTCTCTGAGATCAATAAATAAAAATTTAAAGAAACAAAGATACACTAATGCCTGTTGGAGATTCAGAGACAGGTTTGGGGATTCTGAACCCAACCTTGGGAACTTAAGAGCCACAAAAGGTAGAAGAGTGAGGTAGGTTTATATGGTTAGAGAGCAGTCTGGTATGCCCCTCCTCCCCCAGCTCTTCAGGCACAAGGTCATTAGAGGAACCACTAGAGGTCAGGAGTAGAGAAAGAAAGAAAAGAGCAGGTACTTATTGGAGTCGGCCTTTGCTGTTCTTTATCCTTCATCCCCTCCTACTCCAGGACCCTTCTGAGGCTTTTCTTCTCTCCTTCACCCCAGTAGTTTCCTTGGCTCATTCTCTTTTATCTGAAAAACCAGGCCCTAGAAGATTAGCAAAAAGAAAATGAAGAAATATTCCTGCTTTCCCTCACTCAGGTTTGCATGGAGTCTTTTAGCAAAGAATAAAACCAGTTCTTCATAGGTAGATGGTACAGTGTCCTTAACTGACGTATGCCTGCAGGTGAGTTGGGATGGCCAGAGATCAGGTGTGCGAAAGTGAAAAATTATCATGGTCACCCCCAAACAAAAAATTACCTGGAATTCACTGAGATCTTATCCAGGAAGACCAAATCAGTTATGTCAATTATGGTGTCAACCAGTATCTACTTAGACAGTTGGGGAGGTGACAGCCCTAGACACAAACTGAAAGGAACAAGCCTTCAATAGTATACAGTTCCATCCCTTCCCTCTAGCCATGGCCCTGGGATACGTAAGCATCAGCACACTCACAGAAGGTTGGGTTCTGAAGAAGCCACTTGTGCTCTATAGACGAGGGACCTGATCAGGGACATCCATTATGTAGTTTTGGGAGACTAGACAGATTTCTCAACCTTCTGGCCCTTTAAATACAGTTCCTCATGCTGTGACCCAACCATAAAATTATTTTCGTTGCTACTTCATAACTGTAATGTTGCTACTGTTATGAATCATAATGTAAATATCTGATATGCAGGATGGTCTTAGGCGACCCCTGTGAAAGGGTCGTTCGACCACCAAAGGGGTCGCGACCCACAGGTTGAGAACCACTGCAGAAGATGGACAGGGAAAGATGGGGCATGCCTTGGAGTCCAGGGGCACAGGGCTAAGATCTAGGGGTACTCAGAGATGTCATAGTAGCATGAAGTTAGAGATATCTGGTTGAGAGTGGGAGTGCTAGAGCACTGTAGGGGGTGATTGGATTGAAAAGCCATGCTATGAATTATGGGGCTACTTAGGAGTAGAGTCCAGGTTCAAGAAGGTTGGACAAGCCTTGGCTGGTGTTCTCAGTGGTTAGAGCATCTGCCTGCACGCTGAAGGGTCTTGGGTTTGATTCCCAGTCAAGGGTATGTACCTGGGTTGCAGGTTAGATCCCTGGCCCTAATTGATGTGTCTTTCTCACATTGATGTTTCTCTCTCTCTCTCTCTCTCTCTCTCTCTCTCTCTCTCTCTCTTTCTCTCTCTTTCTTCGTCCCCCCACCCCCTTCCATTTCTCTCTAAAAATCAATGGGGAAAAATATCATCTGGTGAGAATTAAGAAACAAAAACAAAATGCTGGGCAAGATTTGGGAAACTGGAGCCTCTTGGAAATGGTTGGTATCTCTACAGCCTTTCCCATCATTCTCTGAAACCTCAGTTCCCCCTTCCTTTCTAGATGACTCATTTACTCTAGATCCGTTTTTTTAAAAGAAAGAAAAGAAAAAAGGTTCAGTCTTGCAACCTTCTCAGATATTGCCATGCAAATGCACCCTTCAGCTCATTTACACCTCAGCTAACACTTCTGGATGAATTTTTCTGACTCTATCACCAAGACTAACTTAGAACTCCAAACCCCAACATTTAGAACACTTCTGTGCCAGGTTTTATTTAAGCACACCAACCACTCAACAAAATAATTCCCACTGTCAAATTCAATCTCTGTGTTTGGTAAGAGGAAGCTGTGGGGTACAAAGGGTTCAGGATGGTGTTGTCAGGAGAGAGTAACAGCAGGAAGAGTGAGAGAACAACTGGGAAGGATATAAGGGAAGGGAAATTGGGGCCTCTAAGGCAGTTCACAAAGATAAGAAGGTAGGTATAGAAAGAAGTTCAAAGGAGTGAGAAAGGACATCCACAAATCCAGCGGGATACTGCTGAGCAGAGCCACACAATGTTTTCCAGCAGATTCAAATGGAATTAAGTAGTACTAGCTTGGCTTTAGAAAATGGTGCACAGGAACTAGGCCAAGGGGGGTGGGGGGCATGGAGTCTGCTGTGATTTTTTTGTACACTAAATTATTTTACCCAGAGCCAGCCTCAGATTTCTATCTGTTTTCTCTACTTACTTTTAGAAATGCTTGTTGAACTGTAGTGAATTTTTGCGGGCGATGGTGAGGTTTGCCGTGTGCCCTATATGACTGAGATCCTGCCCCATCTAGGCCTGGAAGAAAGAGATCATCCTGAGTAAATGACCCCTCTGTCTGACTGCGTCTGTGCATCTGAGCTAGTTTGCTGGTTGCCCTCCCATAGGATGTGGGGAGAAGGGAAAGAAAGACACTTTACAGCAACCACCCTACCCCCATCACCTGTTCCTGCTTTGGGACCATGTCGTCCTGTGTTAGAATAGGGAGGAAGTGGTCTTATAAATGGCCGCCATCCTGTTGTCTAGACGTTAAGGAAGAGATACGGTCTCAGGGAAGCTTCAGGAGCTGCAGAGGGCTGCGCGTGGATTTCCTGTCAGAGGTGGGGTCTTGTTTTTGCATAAATAGTGGGATCCTCCAGCAGAAACCCCTCTCATTCAGCATTAAGTGAATTCATCCTCAACCCTTTCAAAAGGATACAGTAGTTATTTAGCAATGGGAATATCAGCATGATTAATGGTACTATAGTGTCACTTTCCAGGTAAAAGCCTTTCAATCTCATTAATACCAGTTCGCCCTTTCTCCCCGACATATAAATAGCTTATGACTAACAGCTCATATTTGCAGGACATTGTCCAGAGTCAGGGGGACATTGTGATCTTATAATGGAGACATCAACTGAGTGAAGCCCATGTCCTTGACATAATCGCTCTAGTATGATAAGCAGCCCATGACAGTCAGAATAACAACTGAAACAGAATCCAGTACTCGTAGACATTGTTGTGTCACCTGGAGAGTTCTATCCCAATGATGGATTTTTGTACTGGAACTGGCTAAGAAGTCATGTGCTTTTAGCAGTGTGGCTCAAATAAAATATATCTGAATTATTTTTTATTTTTTAAAATATATTTTTATTGCTTTCAGAGAGAGGAAAGGAGAGGGAGAGAGAGATAGAAACATTAATGATGAGAAAGAATCATTGATTGGCTGCCTCCACGCTCCACACTGGGGATCGAGCCTGCAACCAAGGCATGTGCTCTGACCTTGAATTGAACCATGACCTCCTGGTTCATAGGCTGATACTCAACCACTAAAGCATGCTGGCCGGGCTGAATTATTTTTTAGAAATGCTGTAGTGATGCTGTCATAGATTGGGTGCTCCAGGAAATAGACTGAGACACTGAGATTTGCATACTGACGGCTTATTGGTGAGTGCTTCTGGGAACATCTATGAGGTGTAAGGGGGGCAGGATTGGGGCAGAGGGAGAAATGGAGGCAAGAGGTCCAGGTCTTCATCCCCACACCCACTCCCATCAACCAGTCATCAACCAGCTAGGAGCCCTTAGCAACCAATACTTCAGTAGCCAGGGAACAAGTGCCGTGATCCTGAAGTGTGGGATCTCAGCAGTGGTACTCCACCTTCTCTGCTACAGTTGTCAACTAGTACTTTTATTTCCATTTGCCATTCCATTTTACCTACTAAGTAGCCCACGAGGTAGACAGGTCCAGGTAGGGATCATTCTTCCCTTATACACGTGAATACACAGGGAAATCTAAGCACAGAGAATGTAAAAGACTTGTTCAGAGTCACCTAAGACTTGTCTCTGGCTCCCACCCGGAGCAATATCCACTCAAAAGATTAATTTTTTCCTACATTGAGAGTGTATAGGACATTAGAATATAAGAACCAAAAAAGTCAGGAAAGGCAAGTAGTCCAGCCACCTCACTTGAAAAGAAAATAGGCTCAGAAATGGGGGGTGATTTCGTCAAAGTCAAGCTGTGAGTCTGTGGCCAGGTGATTAGATTTCCTGCACTCAAGGGCCAGTGCACTATGTACCACATAAGAGCTACAGACATGAGCAGGATACAGGCCCTGCCCGAGAGGATTCAGAATCAGTACTAAGTTTCTTTAGTCCACTTGAATTGTTTCAATGAGACAGAGAAAGTAACACTTGTTGTTCTAGGCTTTCTCTCTCATATCACCTTTCAGAGTCTAAATCCAGCAGAAAATAGCGTATCACGGCTTCAGCATGGGTAATCTGTGTTCTCCCTGTGTTCTAAGCTGCCAACTAGCAGATGCTTATAAAGTTAAACACTGCATGTAAACATACACAGATGGCTCTTCCATTGACTCTCCCAAGATTTATTTTGAACCACAGATTACCAAGAAAACAGATAACTGCCTTCTTTTCCTCCTTCTCTTTAAATGACTTTACCTTACTTATAATCTTTTATTTTTAGGACACAAAGATAAAGCTGTATGGGGAAAAGTGGGTGGGTATTTGCTTTTTGCTTTATAAAGTCATAGACCTGCCCTCGCCGCTGTAGCTCAGTTGATTGAGCATCGTTCCATGCACCGAAAGGTCATTGGTTTGATTCCTGGTCAGGGCACATGCCCAGGTTGCAGGTTCGATTCCCAGGTGGGGTGCGTACAGGAGGCAATCGATCGCCATCTCTCTCTCTCTCTCTCTCTCTCTCTCTCTCTCTCTCTCTCTCACGCATCAATGTTTCTCTCTCTCAAATCAATAAAAACATATTTATCCTGAAGTATGGGATCTCAGCAGTGGTACTCCATCTTTTCTGCTACCTATCTTTGCTTCACACCTTCCCAGTGTTATTCCCACAGCTAGAACCACAGTGAGGCATGTCTACCCCGGGACATGCAGAGGACATTTGCCCTTATAGTATCTAGCTCTCACCACTGGAGTTTCCCAGTTAGAACGCATTGTGCCTCCCATGTTCTCACCTCCAGATTCAGTATTTCTTACTGGTGACAATTGGCCACTGTTTATACCTCCTTTTCTCTCCCTCTTTTAGAGCAGTTAGAATAGTCAGTCACTTCATCCCACTTAATAAACTAAATGGACTGAGGCAGACCTGACGGAAGTTCTCTCCCTCCCGAATCTCTCAGAGAACTCCCCACAGGGGCAGAAACTGGCATACACGCTTTACCTAGAAAAGGAGACCCTAGAGCTGCTAGAATGTTCTGTTAAGAATGTGCATGGGGGCATAGACCTTAAAAGAAATGAGACTGCAGGCCAGAAAATAATTCTAATGCCAAGTAGAAAGGACCGATCCACTTTGTCATTTTTCTTGCTTTTGCTCTGCACACTTCTCCTTCCTATGACTTTGAGAAGGTGGATTAGTCAGTCACTTTTTTTTTTAATGTATATTTTATTGATTTTTTACAGAGAGGAAGGGAGAGAGATAGAGAGTTAGAAACATCGATGAGAGAGAAACATCGATCAGCCGCCTCCTGTACATCTCCTACTGGGGATGTGCCCACAACCAAGGTACATGCCCTTGACCGGAATCGAACCCGGGACCCTTCAGTCCACAGGCCGATGCTCTATCCACTGAGCCACACCGGTTTCGGCTAGTCAGTCACTTTTTAGTTCTCACCACTGGAGTTTCCTAGTTAGTCAGTCCGTGTTTCTGGAGTGGCGGTCCACCTGGGGAAGTGTCTCTCATATTGGTAGCTTGCTCCCAGAAATGGAGGAATGTTAGTATCCTTTAGAGCTGCGAGTAGATGTGAAACAATAAAATAATTTATATGTGGCTTATTGCCTCTACTGATAATATCACCTTCCTTCATTTTTTTCTTTTTTAAATATATTTTATTGACTTTTTACAGAGAGGAAGGGTGAGGGATAGAGAGTTAGAAACATCAATGAGAAAGAAACATCAATCAGCTGCCTCCTGCACACCCCCTACTGGGGATGTGTCCGCAACCAAGGTACACGCCCTTGACCGGAATCAAACTTGGGACCTTTCAGTCCGCAGGCTGACGCTCTATCCACTGAGCCAAACCGGTTAGGGCATCACCTTCCTTCTTACAGGCACAGGGCAGCTTCATCATCCTCGTACTCATAAGGACCCACGGTTGCTTTTAAAGAACCTGCAAAATAAATACTTAATGAAGGAAGGGTGAACTTCTTGGGAGTAGTAATATAATAGGCAAGAGAAGAGAAGAGCCTGGGTCTTTGAAAGTATCTCCTTTCTGGTTAAAGTACAAGAGCCTTCAGGAAGGAGGAGGAGGGAGAAGGGAGGAGGGAACCAGGAAAAACGTACCTTCTCTGCTGAGCGGCATCCTTTGCTGTTATTCATGTTTATATTCTTCATGGAGATGAGGGTGATGCTGTCTTTCTCTCCATTGGCTGCGGAGCAGCTAGGAGTAGGAGGAGAACATGGGTTATGGATAGGAGTGGGAGGGCAATGTGGGGGGTTAAGAAACTGCACAGGGGTTGTTAAAACTTAGACCTTTGTTTTGGGGGTGGATCATAATGAAATGAGAGTGTGTTTTGAAGCCCCAAAGACTTGTATTTAAATCTTTGTTTTACTACCTACTGCTTGTGTGATTTTGACCAAGTTACGACCTCTCTTAAGTCTCAATTTTTAAATGTATTAGCCTTGAAGAACTGCTCTAAGAATTTGAGATAATAGTAACAAATATCTACCAAAGGGCTTGGCCCACACAAGGTATTCAATGAACAGTTCCTTAAATAAGTATCTCCTTATTTAAGGGGTATATTAGAATCTGAATTCCTACACTTTTCATGAAGAGGTAAAAGGTGCGTAGCCCTGGGCTGAAGGCTTCCAGTCCATCTCCTGCCAACTGATTGCTTCCTTTCAAGTCTGCTCTTGTCCTGCCTGCCCCTAGTCTGGTCTCAGTGGAGGCTGTCAGGATTCCGTGTGTGTGTGTGTGTGTGTGTGTGTGTGTGTGTGTGTGTGTGTGTGTGTGTAAAGCAGGAAGCTTTGGTTCCCTCTTGGAGGGAAGACTGAGAGGTCAGATAGATAATTCCTGCTTACACCTCTGACAGTCTTACCTTTCAGATAGCCCTGAGCTCCCAGGTTTCTGGGGATCTGTAAAAATCCAAAGGCACAGATTGGGGGTCACATGTTGTTACTCAGAAGCCCAACCTGCCCCTCAAAGTTCACCCAAGTGGACCCTCCCATTTCATCTCATGGTGCTGATGTTTCCATTCCTTCCCTCAACTCTAGGCCGGGTGTCAGTCCCAGAATCTAGCTCTGGGTCCCTCAGCAAAGAGGGGCAAAGGAGGGCCCCCAAGGTTCAGGCATGTACCTTCAGATTCCTTGTTCTTCTGACACTTAAACCTTAGACTGACCACACTGACCAGGATGATCACCACAACCACCAGGATGACAACGAAGCTGATAACACCTGAACAGGGAAAGGATGAGGTGAAGAGGAGGGGATAAGAGGGGATAACATGAGTTCAAATTCTCTTCCTACCTAAGTGCTATGTCGACAGGGTCCAGAGCAAAGTGAATTTTGAATTCCCCTTCTCTGCGAATGCATGAATTCTCAGCTTGCTGCCCTGGCCAAAGTGGGTTCCACAGCCCTTCCTTCCCCCATCTTCCCATAAGAATATGAAACCCAGCAGAACCCAGAAGAGTTGACTAGAGTCAGTGGAGGCTCTTTCCCACCAAAGACTTCTTTGTCAGCCAAACCCTCTAGCACAGCGGTTCTCAACCTGTGGGTCGCGACCCCTTTGGGGGTCGAACGACCCTTTCACAGGGGTCACCTAAGACCATTGGAAAACACATATATAATTACATATTGTTTTTGTGATTAATTACTATGCTTTAATGATGTTCAATTTGTAACGATGAAAATACATCCTGCATATCAGATATTTACATTATGATTCATAACAGTAGCAAAATTACAGTTATGAAGTAGCAACGAAAATAATTTTATGGTTGGGGTTCACCACAACATGAGGAACTGTATTAAAGGGTCGCGGCATTAGGAAGGTTGAGAACCACTGCTCTAGCACACATGGGTGAGATTTGAACTTGTGTTTCCTGACCAGAGTCCAAGTCAGTTCAAAGGTGGGGTCCCCTGCCACATCCCACCTTCTCCTTCCTCTCACCAAATGCAGCCACAGTGAGCACTTGCTCTGACATAGGACTGGGCAGAATGGTGGGGTCTTCTCTTGTCCTCGGGCTCGTGGTGGCCAATTTGGAAGTAACATTTTGAGAGGTGTCTAAAATGGAATGGTGATGGGTGCTTCAGTGAAAGGACTTACTCAGCCTACCAGAGAGAGCTAGCTCCCCCCGACTCCTAGGCCCCCCCCCCCGGCCCCGCAGCACTTTCTCCAGGTAGGGGACTGCAGAGAGAGCTCCAGCCCTACAGAAAAGACTTCCTCTCTGCCCCTCTGATCAGGTCCCATGAGGATGGAGGTCAGAAGTGGGTGCTGTTGGATCACATGACTAGATTGCTGGTTGTATTACTAGTTCCAAAGGACTCCAGAAAGTTCAGGATGCTTCCCTCATTATGCTCTTCCCACCATATCCCCTTGGAGCCCAGAGGAAAGGGATGTATGCTGCAGACATAGGGAGACAGGCTAGGCAAGGTTGAGCCATCTGTGTTTTGCCAAGAGTTGAAGAGGGAGGAAAGAAGGGCACCGGATGTTTGTCTCCAGGCACTGACCTAACAAGCCAGCCTGCCAGTTAAAGGGCATGTGTTTCTGGCCCTCTTGAAAAGTGGTATGGCCATCCACCTCATCCTCTCTGAAGCTCTTTGTACTACAGGCCTGATTGCTGTTCCATTTCTTGGTCCTCACCCCCCTCCTAAAAATGACTGGGAGTATAAAAACATCCCAGAGCCAAGGGGTAGGATGAGAGAAAGGGTCAGGGTGTTCTTTGTTGTGAGCACAGACAGGACATACCTCTGCTTCTGCTGCCACTGCTGCTGCTGCTTGGGACCCCTGTGCCTGTGCCGTAAACAGCAGGCCAAGGTGGAAGGTAACCACCCTGCCCAGCCTTTCTCCCCTGCTGCTGGGTGAAGCCCAGCCTGCCTTGAGAAGCATGTGACTCTTTCCCAACCTTTTCTGCCTTCCTTTCCATTATTTTGGGTTCTCCTAACCCTTCCTTTCCTTCTCGATGCCTTTATCAATCCTGAGTCGACTCTTTCTACCTTCATTGTGACCAGGTCCAAGTCCTTGTCTCTACTCCCCCACCAAACCTCTCTCGTTCTCTCCAGACCAGGGTGCCACTGATGTGGATCCTGAGACCCCCTTACTGTGGGGCAGGACCTGGGCCCCCTCAAGAGGAGAAGAAGGAACCCGGCTTGATACTTACCAAATCCTGATGTGTGCTCCTGTGGCTGGGATGGGGAGTGACCATCCATGGTGCTTGGCCTTGGCATCACAGGTTTACTGGGTACTGTGGGGACCCGTGAGGCTTTCTCTGAAGCAGCTGTGGATTAGGAAGCATTTGTGGGCCTGCTATGGCTTCAACCAGCATGTATACAGGGACGGCTCTTTAGTCCAAAATTGTTATTTTCGTTACTGCTTTCACTTCCAGAAGGAGCCATCCTCCTTTTCACCTCTGGGTCTTCACCTGTACAGTTTCCTCTGCCTGGAATACACCCTACCCTCCTTCACCCCAAGTCTTCATTTGGTCAACTCCTTCTCTGGCCTTAGCTTTAGAAGCACTCTGGGATGTCTTCCCTGGCCCCCAAGTCGGAAGTGGCTCACATTTATCTGGATTCCAATAGCACCTTCATCTTATGCACATCACAATCCTTCTATCCTATCTGTAATTATCAATGTAAGGTCTTGTTTACTTGTCTGTTTCTCCACTGTATTCTTCTTTAGAGCCGAAACTGTGTCTGCTTCCTCATTGGGCCCTCCCTTGATGGAATTTGTAGTCTCAGTGGCAGAGTACCTGGGGTACTGGTACTGGACAGTGGGCTTGGGCTGTTGGGCTCTGAGGAAGGGCTGTCCCCAGCAAGGACTGAGGCATATGGGGAGTTGAAGGTGGGGCAGTTTTGATGACAACCACTTCTGACCCATATGAGAACTCTTGGGCTGCAAGCAAGTCTGAAGGGATGGGCAAGGGGCTGGGAAGGGGCCAGGGATTGGCCCCTCAGCAACCACACTCACTCACCTGTGTTGGGGGTAGTTGGCTGTATAGTCAGACTTAGACTGACGGCTCCTGAAACAGATCATCTGAGGCTGAGGGTCTATTGCCTCTTATTGCTCTGACTCCCTCTCTTCTTCCCTATAGCTGGTGTTTTCTAGTCTTTCTTCTTACCCCAACCCTCACCTGCAACCATTTATCTCTCTTTTTCAAAACAGGTTAGACTGGGCCAAGCTGAAAAAAGTCCCTAGATGAGCTCAGCTTTGGATGTCCTGAGAGCTCTAGCCCCACCCTAATCACCTGCGATCTGTGTAAAACAGTGCCTAGAGCTCTCCCCAGCCTTACTAAGCTCTTAGACATAATTGCTAGAGGAGTCCCTGTGTGTTTGCTCTTACCCTGAGGGCTAGAGGGCTGCATTGTCGTGGGCTGGGAGTTGTGGCCTGCAAGAGAAAGCAAAAAGCATAGACTAGCTTTGTGAGTCTCCCACCCAGCACAGAGCCCCCCGAAAAACCAAGGCCTTTTGGCTTTAAAGCCTCTCATGCTGACAGAGGACTAAAGGATGTGGCTCCAGCTTACTGCGGGGCTGGCTTCCTCTGAGATCATGACTGAATAGCATCATCACCACCACCTCATGATTCAGTGTCCCAGAGTCCTTTCCTGTCTCTTCAATCCCACATGGGTTCTATAGCAGCCTGATACAACGTCAGGGGAAGGTTATTTTAAAATAGTGATATGTCCAAGGACAGAGGGCCAGACACCTGCCAAGTCTAGACAAAGACCCCAGGTCTCCAGACTAATGCTGACATCACACTACCACTGTGCCATCCATTCTACCCTGCAAATAGTGTCATACGAGTCCTGCCCAAGGGAAGGGGATGGGAAGATGTGATGAGTAAGATGGAGTTAGGGGTTGGGGTTGGTATCTGGGCTATCTCTGTGCCCTCCTCCAGCCAGAGGTAGGGGCCTACACAGGAGGCAGGGAAGCTCTAGAATGAGTGGTCAACTTAACTCTCACAGGTAGCGGCTTCTCAATAATGGTTGTTGTTGTCCAAACCCAGGGAGGAGGTTACTAGGATGCCCCAGTAGGAAGCTCTCTCCAGATTGTTTTGTAAGTACATGTGTATGCCTGTCAACCTCTATGCAGGTGTGTGTGTGTGTGTGTGTGTGTGTGTGTGTGTGTGTGTGTGCGCGCGCTCATATATGTGTCCCCTGTGTCTGTGGGACCTCAAAGGTCAGGTTGTGTTTGCTCATTTTCCACAATGAAATCATTCTTGAAACCTGTGAACAATGTGAAAGGAAAACGTGGGGAAGTGGAGCCGCCCAGCTGGGTTCCCGTTCCTCCACTCAGGCTGGGACTGCAGCTGCTGGCCTGGCCCTCTGCTCCCTCAGCCCCCATAATCAGGGAAGTACCAAGCTGGGGCCTGGGTGAACAGAGGCAGCTGAGGGCCAGGGGCCCGCCCAGCCAGTGGCAGCCTGTTGGTCTGTTTATTTTCCTTGGCCACTGCCTTCCTCCATGGGGCTATCACTTGGATAGTGTGGAATTAATTGTTCCCAAGCCCACCCTTTCCCAAACCCTAGGCCGTGCAGAGGCTGTTTTTCCAGGTCACCATCTCTGACACTTCTTTCCCTCATTGGCTGGGGGGATCAAGAGGGGAGTTAAAACTTGTAGGTGCCCCAGGCTAGAGAGAACTTTTCCCAGCTGGGGAGTGACCCTTTTAATCCAAGGTATGTTCTGCAAACACCCATCAGAAGGCACCTTAGATGTCCTTGCTGAAGGGGTATCTAAGGTCCTGTCTAAGCTCTATATGGTTATAACTTTGGTTTTTAGTGGGAGGGCACAGTGCCTGCCTTCCCACATTTATCTAAAAACAAAACTAGTGTCTTGGAATGAGTTCCAAAGTCACAAGCTCCGATTCTCAGTAGCCTGCTCTTTGTCACCTGCCCCCTCCCCCTACTGGAACTTTTTGTCACCAGGAGATTCCTCTGTGAGTAGAGGAGGGATTCAGGGAGCGTCTGTTTTTACAGGCCAGGTTGCCTCTGACCACTGGACACGCAGACAACCAAAGGCCACTGGCCACTGGGATTTCTTATTTTCCGGTCTCCCCTTCCTAATCGCTACCTGCCTCTCTCCTCCTCCTCCACCCCCACCATCCTGTTTTTCTCAGCAGCATACCTTAGTAGTTGAAATCACAGACTTTGGAGTTTGACAGGCTTGAGTCTAAGTCCTGGCTGTCACTTACTGGCCTGGGCTTTATTTTTCTCTTTGTTAAATTGCAAGTGATTTTAGGACTTCATAAGTAGTTGTGAGGATAAGAAGATGCATATAAAGTACTTAACATAGTGCCCACCAGACAGAGAGTCCATGCTCAGTAAATGCTAGACGTTTTTAATTTTGCCCCATTCTCTCAAATTCTCCAAGCCTCAAGTCTGCCCTGCCCTGATTCGTGTATCCACAGTCAAGTCCCTTTGTGAGCCTGCATATCCCCAAAAGGATTCCTCATCCCACCAAAATGAAGGAGACAGAAAGTGCTCTGAGATACTAGATAAGAGGTTAGGAAACTCAAGCGGTGAGCATGGCTTATGTAGAGTTTACACAGGGCATTCCTAGCTCCGGCACTCGTCCAGGACAGGGCAATGGGTAGGGAAGCTGAGAGAAGCCTAGGCCTATGAAAATGCCACCCTATGAGTTGCACCTTTTAATCTTCTCTGCCGTTTCTGCAGTTGGGACAACAGCCTCGTCCCCCAGCTCCAGATCAAATGCGTGACTCTATCCTCTGGGAAGGAGGTTGCGGGTGGAGTAATCAGAGTTTTACTTCCAAGCCATGGACTTGTAAAGAAATGCCTGATCTCTCCATGAGGCAGTCTCCCGGTGCTCAGGCCTTCCACCACCACCAAGAAAGCCATCCTCCCTCTCCCATCCAAGCACTCTTGGGTGCGTTCTTTTCGGCTGCTTTGAGCCCAGGTTCATGAATCTTCCACAGAGGATTCATGGACGTGAGGTGGGGGTGGGGAAGGAATGACCGAGGGGAAGTTACTGCCCTGTGAGTCAGAATCTCCTGGATTTCTCATGGTTCCCAGCAACTGCTCCCTAATTAGGGGACCCCTTATGAGCTGTTTCCCCACTCATCAGCTGGCAGAGTCCCGTCTAAGAGGAGTTTTCAAGTTTTCTCCTCTGAAGACCGTCTCATCTAGACCCCTGGCTGAGGGTGTTGAGTACATCCTCTGTGGCAAACAGTTCTTTGTATCTAACTTGAATCCCTCGTGCTGAGTGTGAGCTTAGAGTCAGTATTTGGAATTCCCAGGTTGTTACTCCCCAAATGGAAGAAAAAAAAAGATCCCTGTAAAGCCCAAGGTGCAGACAGCTTTGTGCTAGAACATCCCAGAAGGAGCTTTCAGACCTCAATCTTCCACCAAGACAGCCAGGCACATCCCACATTTAAGGAGGCCAGCCTTTATGGGAGCCCCGGCTCACCCTGGAACTTTTCCCACAAAAAGGTTTAACCATGTGCCATTTTACCCTTGCCTGGGAATGACTCCCTCCCAATCCAGCTGATCTCTTTCATAAAAGGCTCTGGAATTTCCCCTGGGCACAGCCCTGGATGGAGAGCTGTGTATGTGGTGTGTGTCCTGAAGGACTGCCAGCCCCGGAGGGGAATGCTGACAGAGTGGCAAGTGCCTCTTACCTCGGAGTAGGAGGAAGCTCAGGATCACCCAGCACAGCTGCGTTGCTCCAGCAGTCCCCATGTCAGCTGGGTCTGTGGTGGGCAGGCAGCTGCTCCGTGGAGGCTCGGTCCATAGTGGAGAAGAGAGAGGGAGTGCTGGGAGGGGGAGGGGCTGGGGGCTGGCTCTCCAGGAGCTTCCTGTCAAAGAATAGAAGGAAACAGATTGGGACTAACTCCAGGGCCCTGCTCTGCCTGACAGCCCAGACAAGGATGTGAGGCTGAAACATCAACGACTGGATTGCGCCCTGGGCTCCAGGAATCTGGGCTAGGGCCACTGTGTCCCCCTCCAGGGCCTGTACTCAGAGACCAGTGATGGCAACCTGCCCCTCCCTGGCCCCAGACCCCCCTCTTCTCCTCCAAGGGGTCCATCAGGTCCCTCCACACACCACCCCGGGTTTTCCTGGAATGTAACTCCAGTTCCTCCCCAGACAGTTTCAGACCATGACTGAGCTCTAAAACTCAGCCCACCAGCCGCCCATGCTCTCTAGACTCTGAATACAGCACATTCTTCTCCTTCTTCAGGGCTACCAATGCAGATGGGACTCCCAATATCTTTCATTATTGTTATTCTTAATAGAAAAACAAGAGAACCACATTCCAAGCATCCCTCCCTCAGGCCCTTCCCCTCACTTTGGCGTCAGGCCTTCCCTGTGCTCCAGCAGCATCCTTGTCCTTAGCATCCAGCCAGCACACATCCCACAGCCCTCTCTTCTGCGGACACAGTGTCGCTTTCCCAGTATCCCTTGGACCTGGCCCAATGCCTGCCATACAGTAGGTCTCAGCACATATTTATTAAACTAAACTCTAAAGATTTAGAGCAGAGAAATGTTACACATTTAATATCATTACATCTTTAATATAATCATCATTGTTGTGGATTTCCTTCCAGCCTGTGATAATAAGCATATATATCATTTTATTGATTTACTTATTTACTTTGGTTAACCCTCACCTGAGGATTTTTTTTCATTGATTTTTGTTTTTTATTTTTTTATTTTTTAGAGAGAGTGGAAGGGAGGGAGGGGAAGAGAGGAGAGAAAGAGAGAGAGAAATATCAATGTGAGAGAGACACCGTCTAATGGTTGCCTACCGCATGCACCCTGATCAGGCTGAGGATCGAAACTGCAATCTAGGTACATGGCCTTGACTAATAGGACTCGAGACCCTTCGGTGCATGGGCCAATGCTCTAACCACTGAGCACACCAGCCAGGACATAATCATTTTATGAATCTGTCCTTTTGTCTCTTATTTTTTTTAATATATATTTTATTGATTTTTTACAGAGAGGAAGAGAGAGGGATAGAGAGTTAGAAACATCGATGAGAGAGAAACATCGATCAGCTGCCTCTTGCACACCTCCTAGTGGGGATGTGCCCGCAACCAAGGTACATGCCCTTGGCTGGAATCGAACCTGGGACCTTTCAGTCCGCAGGCTGACGCTCTATCCACTGAGCCAAACCGGTTAGGGCTGTCCCTTATTTTTTAATAAATATTTTATGTTGAAGCAATCACAAATGTACAGAAAGTACATTACTCAGAACTTTTTTCCTTAAATCATTTGAGAGTAAATTGCCAACAGAATGACTCATCACCCCTGAAGTGTTTGTAGTGTGTATTTCCTACAAACAAGGACAGTCTCTTATATATTCACAATACAGCCATCAACATTAGGAAATTAATATTAATATATTAATACCACCTAGTCCTCAGATTCCATTCAGTTTTGACAATTGTCTCAAGAATGGCCTTTATTTTTATTTGTTTTAAATCCTCACCTGAGGATATGTTTTTATTGATTTTCGAGAGTAAGAAAGGAAGAGGGTGAGAGAGAAAGAAAAAGAGGTGAGAGAGAAACGTCATTTGGGATCGGTTGCCTCCCATATGCATTCCAACCAGGGATCAAACTCAAGATCTTTCTGTTTGATCGAACCAACTGCTCCAACCAACTGAGCCACACTACCCAGGGCCCAAGAAAGTCCTTTATAACAAAAGCGTCCAGCCTGGAATTATTCATTGCATATCTCTTTTGTGTCCTCCAATCTGGAACATTTATTCAGTCTTTTCTTGACTTTCATGAGCTTGAAATTTTTTTTCTAGAATAAACACCTTTGTTACACGAGCTAAGATGGGAGGGAGGAGGATTAATTTGCCTTTCTAGGCCTTGATTTTCCTCAGATAGAACTCCAGCTCCTTGCCCTCGAGCACACAGCCCTCTGCTCGGCCACACTGGCCTGGTCTTGAAGAGATGCATGCAAGCAGCTTGCCCTGCTGGAACTGCTCCTCGAGAAGACTGCTGATTTTGGCATTCTTTTTCCTCTCATCATATTTCTTCTGAATTTTCTTTGATCGTTTTTTGTTCAAAATCTCTTCCTCTCCAGGCGTCAGCTTGGCCCCCTTCTTGCGGCTTAGGGGCAGTGCGAAGTGGGGCTCGTCCCGCTGTTGGTACGGTGTGCTGTCAATGAGCAAAAGACAGTTCTTTACTAGGGTCTTGGTGCGGACCAGTTCGTTGTTGGATGCATTGTAAACAACATCAATAATCCTTGTTTTGCGCGTATAACACTCTGAGCCCCAGGAGAAGTTGCCCACGTCCAGCCTCCAGGCTCGGTACTTCTTGTTGCCTCCGCGCACTCGGACTGTGTGTATGCGGAGGGGTCCAACCTTAGTGTTGGTAGCAGGGCGTCCCAGCTCATATTTTCGCTTCTTGTGGTAGGGCTTCCTCTTGCCCCCCGTCTTGTGGCGCTTGTGCCAGTCGTCCCGAGAGATACCCATAGCTCGGCGAGCTTGAAATTTTTACAGGTTACAATCCGGTAATTTTGTAGCGTCTCCCTCATTTGGGTTTGTCAGACATTTCCTTACGATTAGATGGTCATGCATCTTTGATGTGAATGTCACAGAAGCAATGCTGTGTTCCTCTCTTTGCATTCTATCAACTGCTGCATGGCTTTGATTTGTTCCATTACTGAGGATGTCCACTCGGTCACTTGCTTAAGGTGGTGTCTGCTAGTGTCTTAGTTTCCTGTGGCTGCATACACATTACCATAAACTGGTGACTTTAAAACAACAGAAACGGACTCTTTCACAATTCTGGAGGCAGGAGTCAAAATTAAGGCATTGGCAGAACTACACTCCTGACGACTCTAGGGAAGAAGCCATTCCTTGCCTCTTCCAGCTTCGGGTGGCTGTTGGGCATTCCTTGACATTCCTTGGTTTGTAGCTGCATCACTTCAATCTCTGTCTTCACATCACCTTCTTCTCTGTGTGTCTCTTCCAGGGACACTTGCCGTTGAATCTAGTGGCCATCTAGATAATTCAGGGTGACCTCCTCATTCCAAGATTCTTAACTTATTTGCATCTGCAAAGACTCTTTTTCCAAGTAAGGTAGCAGTCACAGGCTCTCAGGATTAAGATATCGACATATCTTTTTGGAGACCACCATTCAGCCACTATAGTCCATTTTCTCCACTTCAAAGTTACTCTTTTCCCCTTTGTAAATAATAAGTATTTTGTGGGGAGATACTTTGAAACTATGTGAATATTACATATTACAATCATTTATTATTATGATGCTCAAGTTACCCCCATTTTAGTCATTGGGAACCCCTTCAGGCTGGCTTCTATATCCTTTTACCTTATCTCCGTCACTCTCTGAACACTTCTTTACATTCTGACACAATGAGATGTTCCAGGTTCATCTCATGCTTTACCAGCCCCAGCCCTGTAACCAGCTCTCTCTCCAAGGAGCCCGCTGTAACTGCCATCTATCATAGATACAGAGAACAAACTGATGGTTGCCAGATGAGGGGGTGGTGGGGAGTCTGAGTGGAAAAGGTGAAGGGATTAAGAAGTACAAATGGGACTCTGGCCAGGTGGCTCAGTTGGTTGGAGTATTATCCCATACACCAAAAGGTTGCAGGTTCAATTCTTAGGGTACTTACCTAGGTTGTGGGTTCAATCCCTGGTCTGGGCATATACAGGAGGCAACTGATTGAAGTTTCTCTCTCACATCTCTCTCTCTCTCTCTCTCTCTCCCCCTTCCTCTCTCAAAAGCAATAAAAACATATCCTCCGGTGAGGATTTTTTTTTTTAAAGGCCCCAAAGACCTACCTTGCTGTTCTCTGCTATGAGGACACAGCAAGAAGGCACTATCTGTGAACCAGGAAGTAGGCTGTCATCAGAGTCCAAATCTGTTGGCATCTTTTTTTTTTTAATTAAATCTTTATTGTTCAGATTATTACATTTGTTCCTCTTTATTCCCCCCCATAACTCCCCTCCTCCCAGTTCCCACCCCACCCTCCACCCTCACTCCCCACCCACTGTCCTCATCCATAGGTGCACGATTTTTGTCCAGTCTCTTCCCGCATCTCCCACACCCCTTTCCCCCCCAAGAATAGTCAGTCCATTCCCTTTCTATGTCCCTGATTCTATTATAATCACCAGGTCATTCTGTTCCTCAGATTATTTATTCACTTGATTCTTAGATTCACTTGTTGATAGATGCATATTTGTTGTTCATAATTTGTATCTTTACCTTTTTCTTCCTCTTCCTCTTCTTAGAGGATACCTTTCAGCATTTCATATAATCCTGGTTTGGTGGTGATGAACTCCTTTAGCTTTTCCTTATCTGTGAAGCTCTTTATCTGACCTTCAATTCTGAATGATAGCTTTGCTGGATAAAGTAATCTTGGTTGTAGGTTCTTGGTATTCATCACTTTGAATATTTCTTGCCACTCCCTTCTGGCCTGCAAAGTTTCTGTTGAGAAATCAGCTGACAGTCGTATGGGTATTCCCTTGTAGGTAACTGAGTTTCTTTCTCTTGCTGTTTTTAAGATTCTCTCTTTGTCTTTTGCTCTTGGCATTTTAATTATGATGTGTCTTAGTGTGGTCCTCTTTGGATTCCTTTTGTTTGGGGTTCTCCTCGCTTCTTGGACCTGTAAGTCCATTTCTTTCACCAGGTGGGGGAAGTTTTCTGTCATTATATCTTCAAATAGGTTTTCAATATCTTGCTCTCTCTCCTCTTCTGGCACCCCTATAATTCTGATGTTGGTACGCTTGAAGCTGTCCCAGAGGCTCCTTACACTATCCTCACATTTTTGGATTCTTTTTTCATTTTGCTTTTCCGGTTGGGTGTTTTTTGCTTCCTTGCATTTCAAATCATTGACTTGATTCTTGTGCTCCTCTGGTCTGCTGTCGGGAGTCTGTATAATATTCGTTATTTCAGTCCGTGTATGCTTAATTTCTAGTTGGTTCCCCAATATAAGATCGAGGGTCTTATTAGTTTTCTTGTAGATCTCATTAAGTTTATCGGCGGCTTCTAAACAGTTCTTGAGAGACCTTAAAAGTGTGGTTCTGAACTCTATATCTTCCATTGACAATTTTGTCCGGTTTCTTTGTCTCCGCATTTTGTTATGCTTTCTTGGTGCACCCCCTAGTGGTCTTTGTGCGCAGTCTTGTAGTTAAGCCTTGATTGTTGTAGCTAATACCAGGGAGTGTTTGACCTCCAGGCCAAGTGGCTGTGAGAATCAGCTGTGTCTGGAGTCTGTTGGCATCTTGATCTTGGACTTCCCAGCCTCCAGAACTGTGAGAAAAATCTTCTGTTGCATATAGACCACCCAGCTCATGGTATTTTGGTATAGCAGCTTGAACAGACTGAGACACATACTGTATACTTTATCCATTAAAGGTGTACACTTTAGTGGCTTTTAGTATATTCAGAGACTTGTGTAACCTTCCCCGCAAACAATTTTATTACCCCACAAATCCCACACCGCTTACAGGCATATAGCTTGTAATGAGAAGGCTGGACGTAGGGTGTGGCTGAAATGGGCAGCCTTTGCTCCTGGCTTACTCCAGTGACCCAGAGCTTAAGATGAGGTCTGGAAGTCAGCCGGCTGTCAATGGCTCCCAATCATGGCAACCTCCCATTGGCCTGATCAGAATGTTCCACAAGCCCTTCTCCTTCAGCTTCCTTGGCAGAATCCTAACCCTGGTTGCTTTCAGTGTGGACAGAGTGAGGGAAGAAGGGCTGTTCTTTGCCTTACTTAGGTTGACAGGGCCACTTCTACCTCCCCTGGGGAGTTGGAAAAGAGATGTGGCCCCAGTGTGCAGAGCTGAGACAGGGAACCAGCCTGGAGGGATGATGGTGGGAGGACCCCAGAACCTTTTCATCTTTGTTCCCAGGACTCACACCTTGAAAGCCAGGACTTTTCTTCTCTGTAAAACAACAGCAGATTCTTAATTATTTTAGCCCCTTGAACCCATTTAAGAGGCTCCATGACAGCAAAAATCCAAGAAGAGACAGAGGGAGTGAGACAGGGAACTTGTTGTGGCTCAGAAGTACCTTTCCACAGGTGAGGGTTGCTTCTTACAAGCCGCTAGTGCTAAAGACAGGACAGGGGTGGGAGTTCATCCACATTCTGGTTCTATTCAGCAAACGTATCCAGCACCTGTGTGTAGTACCAGTTAATGTGGTAGATTCTGGGACACAGACAGGAATGCCTTGATGGGGGTTCACAAGCTAGGAAGAAAAATGAGCCCCCCCCCCCCACCACGTACTTGTAGGATAAGACAAAGTGAGACAAATGTCAGGAGCAAGGTAAGAAACATACTGCTATAGGGTTTAAGGAAAAGAGAAATCTACCTCAGTATAGTGGGCTGAAGAATATATTCCTGGAGGAGATGACACTTGAACTAATCCATAAGGGATGGTTAATATTATCCTGGCCAGTATTGCTAAGTGGTTAGAACGTCAGCACATATACCGAAGGGTCACAGATTCGATTCCAGGTCAAGGGCAAATACCTAGGTTGCAGGTTCCATCCCCAGCCCCAGTTGGGGTCAGGGTACATGCGGGATGTGTGTGTGTGTGTGTGTGTGTGTGTGTGTGTGTGTGTGTGACTCCCTCCCTTCTACTCTGTTTTCAGTGGAAAAAAATATTCTCAAGTGAGAATTAACAACAACAACAAAAGATGGTTAATATTTAGATGATAGGAATGGGGGAAGTGTCACTCACAAGAGTGAGCATGGAAATGGGAAAGTGAGAGAAGGCTGGGGCAATAATCTGGTCCCTGCCCTGGCTGGTATGACTTGGTTGGAGCATCGTCCTGTACACCAAAAAGTTGGAGATTGGATTCCAGTTCAGGGCACATATCCAGGTTACCAGTTCGATCCCTGTTCGGGGTGCATAAGAGAGACAACTGATTGCTGTTTCTTTTCCTCTCTCTTGAAAACCAATGAAAACATATCCTTGGGTGAGGATTTAAAACAATCCTATATAATAAAAGCTTAATATGCAAATTGACCAAACAGTGGAACGACCAGTCGCTATGATGTGCACTGACCACCAGGGGACAGATGCTCAATGCAGGAGCTGCCCCCAGCCCACAGGCCCCAGTCGGCAGTGGTCGCGGTGCAGCGGCGGCGGGCAGGGCCATCACGTGGGTGGCGCCAAGCCAGTCAAGACAGGTGCCAGCGGGGGCCTCCTGATCACCCTGCCAGTCGCCCTGCAGATCGGCCCTGATCACTGGCCAGGCCTAGGGACCCTACCTGTGCATGAATTTTGTGCACTGAGCCTCTAGTAGTAGTAATAATAATAATAATAATAATCTGGTCCCTGAGGTGCCACCCTCTAATCCTTTCTCAAGCCCTTTAGGAGATAAATCCAGGACTGATGAGGGTGGGGAAGGAAAAATTAGCCACTTTAAATCATTAGAAGGACCAAAAAATGGCTTTTTAGATTTGAGGACTAGAGGCCCCAGTGGTGGTGCATGTGAGAGCAATGGGACATGTGTCTTAAGGAGGCAGGAGGCAAAAGGCAGTGGCTGAAGCTCCGGACTGTGACAGGAGCCAGATTCCCTCTGGCTGATGCCTTAGTGGTCAAGGTGGGAGGTAGAGAATGCCCACAGCCTTTGAGCACATTGGACGGGGACCAGCCTCCTAGTTGACTTCGAGACCAGCCTGCTACTGGTTTCACTCACTTTGCAGGTGAGGTCAGCAGCCCAGTGACCTGGGCTCAAGTGAGTTTGGAGGTCTGAGTGGAGTTCCTGAATGTCAGAGCGTAGAGAGCTTGGCTGAGCGCCAAGGAATCAGGATCAAGCCACTGGGTGAGGGAAGTTGCTGGAGGTCTCTTGGTCTCCCCATTGGAATGGAGGGTAATACATGCACAGCAAGGGACAGAATGAGGGACAGCTGATCCCATGGAGTTAGTTGGGACAAAAAGATTCTCCTTTATAAACTGTCTCCAGACAGAGGAGACCGGTGAGCACTTTTTGTGACTTAGACACAGTAAAGCACACACAGTCTCAAATGAAGTTGCATCCTAACAAATACAGAGGCGTTCAGGATTCATATTTATAAAAACTAAAAAAGAAAAAACCCAAAGAAAAAAGAATGCCTTGCAAGGGACTGAAAAAAATCAAATTCAACAAGATAGTTACCCCAGGGTGAGCAAGAGGGAAGAGATCAGGGAGTGGGGCTCCTATTTTATTTGTGGCATTTTAGTTCTTTAAAATATTTGAAATAAATGTGACAAACTATTGAGATGGACAGAGCTGGTAGTTGGGCCAGAGAGATTTAGTATATTATAGTCTACGATTTCCAGTACCTTTGAGATATTGCGTTAAAAAATCAATCAAAGGATAACCGGTTGGGGTGGGGAAGTCAGTATGTCCTTTTGGGTGGCAGGTGGCTGGGTAGGAACAATGGCTAAGTGTCTGGGATCGGGTGGAGGAGGTGTGGGCAGGCAGACCCAGGCTCCTGAAGCTGTCGGGCGGGGGGGGGGGGGGCATCAAAGGAGGTCCAAGGTGTAAAATCAAGGTACTATCAGAGCTAAAAGCTGGCATCAGGGTTTGTTTCTATGTTCAAGGAAGTGAAAGCACAGAAGAGAGCGCTGACGGTGTGTGTGCAGAGGGTGTGTGCCTGTGAGTCTCATAGGACGTGGCAGGTCCGGGTAGGGGCCCAGCTGGGGTGGCAGGCTCTCCTTTGCCCAGCTGGCCATCAGTCTTGAGGGAGTCTTGCGCCCACCGCCCACCGCCCACCGCCCACCGCCCACCGTGGGACAATGCACCAGGTATACTCTCCCTCACCCCGTCCTGCCAGGCTGGGCTGACTCCCAGCCGGGGCCCCTTGCTTTTCACCAGCCTGTGCTTCCTTTTCCCCTGCACATCCGGAGCTACTTCCCCACCCCCTGACTGGGAGCTCTGTGGCCTGGGCCCCAGAGAACCTCAGACTCTCAGGGAGGGGTGGGGTATTAGACTTTTCCACATTCTTAAAGGGACACGTGTTGGGGTAGACAGTGTGACTGAGAGACTAAAGGAAGTGTGTTTGTCCTGGACCCCAAATGCCTACCCATAGGAAAAGCCAGGCTGAGGGCTCAGAGTTAAGGGAGGGGCTCCACCCCCAAGGGTCTGCTTGTGATGGTCCCGCTGGGGACAATGAGGCGAGGGAGAAAACGTTTTTTGAGCCTGTGATGACCTTACCAGCTCTGGGGTTTAGAGTTTGGAGGTTTGCTATCTTTCTGACCCCTCCTCTGCCCCCCATAACCCTACACTTAGCAGCAGGGAGACAGAGAGAGGCAGGGGTCATGACCTCCAGCTTTAGGTGGAAGAACTCTGGGACCCTGAAAGAGGTAGAGCCTGGCATGGCATCTCCTCAATCTGTCCAGGAATCCACACTGGGCACTGCCTCCCTTCCAGGCCCTGGAATTTTACCCTGAGACCTGGGGGGATATTATGGATGAAGTATCCCCCTTGCCAAGTTTCTGGGGTTCCTGTCTCCTCTTCCTCTTTCCCTTACCCCCACCCCACCTCTGCCTTCTTGGTGCATAGTGGGCCCCTAAGATGCTGAACACAATGACTCCCTTTCCCCTGGACTTTAAGAAGCAGTTGATCACTGCCCATTGCCCAGGATGTGGGACAGCAGCCCATAGTGTGCTAAGATTCCTGGCCCTGGACGCAGGCCCTACTTAGGAATTAGGAGATCTGGGAAGACAGGGCAGTGAGAGGGGATTTGCAGGACCAAACTCTATATGCCAGACTGTAATGAGGCCCCTGTTTGTCCCTTTCTGAACAACTTTGTCTCTGTCTCTCTCTCTCTGTATCTCTCTTCACTGCTTTCTTTTTAACTCTTTTTCTTTTTTCTTGTGTCTTTCTTTCTCCCCATGTTCCCCTCTGTCTGTCCTCTTCTTCGTTTATTCTCTCTGTTGCTATGTGTATTTATCTCTATGCTTCTGTCTCTCCATGTCTTTATCTCTTTCTTTGTGTCTATTCCTCTTTCCTCCCCCTGAGGTTCTCCGTCTTTCTCTTTCAGTTCCCTTTGGTTGCCTGTCTCTCATTATTTTGGTCTTTTCCTGTGTGTACGTGCCCATGTCACCTTCTCTCTCTGCACTCCCCTCCTAGGCTGACCGCTATCCCTGGCTTTCTCCAGCTGTGAACGGCTCAGCGGGGCAGGAGACGCAGAGGCAGCTTCCAGAGGTGCTGAGTGGGGCCCGGGAACCACCTCGAGAGGATGGGCTGCCTCTGATCACTGTGATCATCGCTATCTTTGTCCTGCTGGCAGTCTGTATCGTGGTGGCAGTCCACTGTGGGCCAAGTCTACACCAGGGCCGTGCCACTCTCCCCACAGAGCCACCAGCCCCAAAGCCAGAGGGTGGCATCTACCTCATCCACTGGCGAGTGCTGGGCTCCCAGGACATTCATGGAGACACGCAGCAGGGCCCTCCTGTCTCTGGCTCCTGCCTTGTGCCAGATGGGCCTAGGCTCAGCATCGACGAAGTCACATATCTGTAGGAGGAAGACTTTGGAAAGTAGGCCAGTCCTGGCTCAGAACAAGAAACTGGACAGAGAATTAGGGCAAAGGCAAACTGGGGCCTGGGTGTCAGATCTTTGGACGTGCACACATGGACTAAGATGGAGCTGCCCTCCGGGCAGAATACAGAGAAAGCCTTGATGGGGAAATAAAGAAGCTTGAGGGCCCTGCCCAGACACATGGTGCTATGAGCATTCCAAGTGCCCAAGGCTGCCCTTACAAAGCTACTCCATCTTCTTCAGGGACCACCAGACCCCTGAACCTCCTTCTCCAAGTCCCTCCCCTTCTCCCACCCCTAATCTCCTCTCCTTTGGTGTCAAGGTAAGTCTGGCTTGGAAGATTCCACCACCCACCCCATCCCCGTGCAGGGATGGAAGAGGCTCCTGCAGAGGCTCTGCTGCTCCAGCCCCAGGTCCTGTGAGGCCAGCCAGGGAGTACAAGGCAAGGAACCCAGGGCTCTGCCTTCTCTGGGACTTGGGGAAAGGCAGGAAAAGCTGTTGCCCTTCACTGATTGAGGGACATCCCTTTGGCTGTCAGGGCCCAGGACTTGTTAACAACTTTCAAGGCCCTTATAAAGCACCAAGCACCAATTATAGCTCCCCAAATTGTTTTTGAATGCCCTCCACTATCTTGGGGCAAGACTCTGTCTTGCCTTCCTATGATGCAATGGGGAAAATTTGGGAGTTCTCATTACCTCCTACTTTCTGTATGCATGGGCCTGTTGAAACTAGCCTAGAATTTACCCCAGGAAATTTCCCCAAGTGCAGCTGGTAGGAAAACAGGATAGGAAAGGGAGCTTCATGGAGCTTTTATAGAGTAAGAAATGGGTGAGGAGAAGGCCTACAGGGAGAGAGACATGGAGGTTGGGAAGATGCAAGAGGCCAAGAGGGCAGAACTGAGCCTCCCAGGGGCTCCCTGGAAAGGTACCTCTTTCTCTGGCACCTCTGAGCTTCATTTATGTGTAGTCAGGAAGGGGCAGACAGACATTTATGGAGGAGCCTCTGGGTGCTTTACCCTGGGGAACAAGTCAACTCTGGGATTGCCCACAGTGAGACCCCAGCACAGTCAGTAAGGCTGGGAAAGAACAGAAGATAGAGGAACAGAGGTGGAGATTATGCGTGCAGAGGACTGGCTTGCCACCTTTGGGATGATGAGAGGCAGTTATAATGTGAGTAGCTACTCCTTCTTGAAGGCCAGCTACGTGCTTGGCACTGGCTTCCTCCATGGGCCTGCAGATATACCATTCACTCCTCATAACAACCTTGAGAAGAGAGCCATTGTTACTCCCATTTTACAGTTGGGAATATTAAGACATCCAGGTGGACACATGTACTAAGTGGTGGGTCCGGATTTGAACCTGAGGCAGTCTGCACCATGTTGGGGGCTGGAGGGTGGGGAAAGTCATGTTGGGGAGGCCTTTGATTCTGGTCTGGTTTCTAGGTATAGGTGTGATGTTGGAAGATCTTCAGGCCTTGAGGACAGAGTGGCTGGACAGCTGGGGAGAGGAAGGGACTGTTTTCCTCACTCTTTTGGCTCTGTCATCCGTAGAGGCAGTCAGTTCCTTCTGGCAAATGTGTGTCTGTGTGGAGCCTTTCTCCACAGCATGCTGTCCTCAGATATGCATATTGAACCGTTGCAACAAAAACAAAGGTAGGAGGGAGGAAGAAACAATTTCTGGGTGGAATGAATGGAACTGGTAGAAATGGGCCATCTCCCCTCCCAGATGGGGGCAATTTTGCCACCACAGTGTCGTTGCAGTGGCTCAGTTCTAACAGCAATAGCAAAAGGTGTGGCAGGTGACTGGCTGTGTTGTCCAAGGTCCCCCATAGAATGTCCCCCCGCCTCACACAAATCCTCTCCCCACTTTATCCCTCATGCAGGCTCTCTCATCAGGGGCTGTTTATGCAGTGGACCCTGCTTCTTTGAGCACCCCCTTGCTCAGGGCACAGCTCATGGTATCTGTGTGCTCCCTCAGGCAGCCCCTGGCCCCTCCCTACCCCCCAAACCTCCCACTGGAGACAAGGGCACTGAAAGGGTAGGTGGAGTGGGGGTGCTGCCCAACTCTCTGCCCTCAGACTGCCTGTGGGTTCTGTCCACATTGACATGACACCCACCACCCCACTGCCATGGAGGAGGAGGGGGGTAAGGAAGCACGTCTGTGCAAGCCGGTTTGGACATTGCGGATAATAAGTGCCAATAGTTTGTATTAATTGAGTCTAGTCGGAGAAAGATGCACACTGAAGTGTGTAATCTGAGGAGTGTTTAAAAGGGGGACCATTTAGAAAAGGCAGGTATAAGGAAACCAAAAGCAGAGGCTGAGTACTACAGGATGAGCTGCAGTAGGGAGCCGATACCGCTGCTAGGCCTGAAGGGGCAAGGAGAGGAAGCAGTTCATGGGACCTGGACAGGGACAGGGTTCCTGAGCTAGTTTGGTCAAGAGATACGGTGAGTTCACAGTGACCTTGACACCGCAGGGGAGTGCTAGGGAAATAAATACTTTAACCTCATTCACCTCCTTTCCTCCATTCTCCCATTGACCAAACAAACAGAAGCCTAGAGGCAAGGGAGCCTGTTGATGCTATCCCAGGGCAAAAGGAAGCAGAGAAGGGTGAAGAAGTAGGTCCAGAGGGTCCAATGGAAGACACCTGGCACATTCCTTAAGTTTACCTGGCAATTAGAGTTTACAAGAAACGTCCATGCAGTCATTGTCCTCACAACAACCCTGTGAGGTAGGTAGGGCAATTATTATGATCCCATTTCATAGATGAGGACACTGAGGCTCATGTAAAACAACTTGCCCAAGGTCACAGGACTCATCTTGAGATGTCAAGTCCCCGTGACTTCTTTGAGAGGCCCCCCTGTGGGAAGAAGCAGCTTTGCTGGGCAATTAGCCCCTAAAGAAAGCCCTCAGTTCAGAGTCTTGGAGATCGCTGGGGGATCAGGCAAGGTGACCGTGGCGCTCAGAAGATATCTGTGCGGAGTGGGAGAGGCTTATCCATTTCACTGATGAGGAGCTCGGGCTCTTGGTTCAGTGTGGAAGAGTCAGGCACCACCGAGGTCCCCACACTACCCACAGTAACCTCCTCCCTTTCCTCCTGCTGCAGGTGCCTGAGAATCTCCTGTGACAGGGAGAAGCTGCTTTCCTCTTCAGGTTCTGGAATGGGGGTGGAGAAGGTGGTGGGGAGTGGAGTGAGAAACTCAAACACACCCCAGGGGATTTGCTGGGCAGATCCTTCAACCCACCTCTCTATGCCTCCTCCCCATCCTAGCCATTGTGGGTAGAGCTTCTTGGAATCCTAGAGCTAGAAATGGCTTTAGAGATCGTGAAATTCCACCCTCTTGCTTTTAGAGATGGTGCTTAGAGAAGGGCAGAGACCTGCCCAAGATCATACAGCAAAGGAGTGGCAGAGCTGAGGTTTCAGCCCCTGTCAGTCTCTTAATTCCTGGCCTGGGGCCTAGGATATTTTGCTTCCTTTGACAGATGAAGTGAGGAGACCCTATAGCCCGCCTCTTCACGCTCTACCCAAGACCCATAGCCAAAGACTTCAGAGCAACCAAGTGTCCCAACCTGGGGAGGTGGACCTCTCCCATGGGAGGAAGGGGCAGGACTTGAATGCCCTGACCACTCGGGAAGACCCAGGGCATGACGCTTTCACATCTCCTTCTGCCCTCCTGGAAGACCCTTGGGCCCCCTGACTCCTGTCCTTCAAACTATCAATCCCTTACCCTGGTAGACAATGAAGCGACAGTTGTTCTGACACTCAGGGGCATCTGCCAGGATGTCCTCAAGTGTCCGGCAGAAGAGTTTAGCCTGCTCAAGCCGGTCTTGCCGACTGAAGCCAGCTCGGCTATCCTGTGACATGGCAAACAGGGTCTTCAAGGGGGTGGCATACTCCAGAACGCAGGTGCCCACCTGGAGAAAATGAGAGGAAGACCAAACTAAACCAGGGCAGACAGACCCTGGACCCCAGTACCACTGCAAGGACCCCACTCCCTCAGTCTGTATAGATGGAGTCCCGGCAGGTGCCGCCCTAATGGGATTATGCTGTCTGGTTGTCTTTTGCCTCTGGCATCCCACCCTTAAGATCAGGGCCAGGGCTGAGCTAAATTTACCCTTCACTGATCCTCCTCCTAGGATCCCAGGGCGAGGCCCACCAAGCTAGGCTGTCAACTGCTCTAGTTTGAAATCAAGTCTGAAGGCTAGTCTCTGGGGTTCAACCGTGGTCTGGGTCTCCCCACCCACCCGTGTGAAATCCATCAGATCTTCTCACAGCCTTCATCTAGGGCAGCTTTATGGTCAAAAGCATGGTGCCCTCGCCGGTTTGGCTCAGTGGATAGAGCATTGCTCTGAGCACTGAGAGGCCGTAGGTTCGATTCCAGTCAAGGGCATGTACCTCTGTTTGTAGGCTTGATCCCTGGCCCTGGTTGGGGCATTAGGGAGACAACCAATCGATGTTATCTCTCTGACTCTCCCCCTTCCTTTCACTCTCTTTAAAAAATCAGTGGAAAATATCCTCGGTTGAGGATTAACAACAACAACAACAACAACAACAAAAATAGGTGTTTTTTTCAAAAAAGCATCATATATTCAAGTTGAAATTGTCCACTTTCTCCCTGGTTCTCTGAGTCAGTTTCGTCACCTGTAGAATGGGGGTTGTAACAGTCCCTACCCCATAGGGTGGTGGTGAGGATCCATTGAGGTGGTTAGATAAGCATCTAGAATAGCACCTGGCATCCATAAGTGTTCAGTAAATGTTACTTATTATCCTCATTCAGCGTCGAATCTTGTCCAGCCCTGGGACTCACTGCGGAAACTGAGGCTCAGAGGAGGGCAGTACATTTTTACCAGTGGTTGGCCAGAGCCCGGAGTTCTGGTGCTCTAGGTCTGATCCTCTCCAGCAGGACCCACCTTCCTGCACACTCACCAGCCTCCCGTTCTCCAGAAGCTCATAGATGCTGTTTTTGTAAACCCGGTCCTTGATGCCAGCACGGTCAGTGAGTTGCGGGGGCAGCTCATGCAGGAAGCGAATGTTGGGGTCAACCACACTCAGGTCATCAGGCACCCCACAGTCCAATGGGAAGAGGATGTATAGCCGATGGCTTGCCGCGCCTCGTAGGATATTGTTGTGGGACTGATTGTAACTCTGGATCCGGGCCGGAAGCCCTGAGGTGGAGAGGCCCAAGAAGTCATTCCCACTGACCTTGTCTCCCACTGCATCACTGGTCACCCTCAATGTGTGCATGCAAAAGAACCGAGGGCCCAGTCCCCTAGTACTGGCCAGGGGGGACAGCACATCCAAAGACCCTTGCCTCCCCTCCATCTACTCCCACCACTGCTTTCTCCCTTCACTTGTTCTTTATCCAGATTTCTGTCAGCC